GGCCTATTTCCACAAAATACTTAAGACGATAACCATAAAACAGAGCAAAATTTCGGAAACTAACAAGAAAAAACAAAATACACCTAGTTATCCGTTCTTGGAACCTGTTGCCCGAAGAATTGGTGTCCATCCTTTCAGCTGACTCATTGAAAAAGAAATTAGACACTCACAGAAACGTACCGGAAAAAGGCTAAGGCAGGATGTAGGTCTTCTGCTTACAATACAAAAAACTGAATCCAATATCTCACTGAATCTACTATCAGAAAAGTGCCTACAGTTTTACATGTTGCTTTTAAAATTCATCAGATACATAACATAAGGATAAATGAGCATAAATTACTTATCTTGAAGGACTTTTGTCTCCATAGTACAAAATGTGGATTAGTGGTTTAGTTAGGAATAGTTTTCCCAAATGTTATCACAATACAGCGCAAAATCACCTACTAAAGTAAATAAATATTCAAAAAGGAAGTTCAGCCATAAAGTGATTTGTATTTCGCAACAAAAAGGCCTTTTAAACAGCAAGGTCCTCAAGATGGACGTACCCGAAAACCTGGGAAAACAATCACGGTTCGTGGTGATTCTCTCATCATCATGAACCTTAAAGACAGCTCTTACCTTCCCCACAGCTTGCAGGACAATCATGACAGGACGCTCTTGGAAGAATTAAACAAGATGCTTGAACTCCCCAAAATAGAGTCTTTGATGGCTTCACGACCCACTTAGGAAAGGAAATCCAAGCGTCAAATTCACCCAAGACTACTTCATGTAACGCTACTGACGTAGATGACATCTTACCGGCTAGTCATTTACTGAAATGAGATGAGAATATAAGAATGCTATCTGATATACTGTATTCTGAGCTCAGTCTCATCCGGAATATTCCTAATGAATCTCACGAGAAGTCATTCCGTGGAAGAAATATTATTGTGCAAGGTGTATCGGAAAACACTTAATCCGACTACGCAAACTTTGATATTTAGGAGTAGGAGTTCATCAAGCAGTCTTTACAACTGAAAAATATATTGACCCAACAAGCAACCAGACTAGCCAAGAACGATGAGGATTTTAGACTCCGGCCGATGAAGATTAACTTTTGATCCCACCACATGGCGGTTGCAACCCACGAAGCATTTTTGACAACAGAAACCGGCTGCCAAGTAGAATACATATGCATCTGGCTCGGACACATGATGCTAGGATCAAGCACAAAGACGAGTTGGATCTGACTACTCCACTTTTGGACTGTCAAGAACATAGAAGAAACGTGGAAGGGATAGGATCTACCAACTGCGAAAGTATTGTGTAGGTAGGCTACCCATCCACTCACATAGCGCTCATACAGATAAACAGGACTGGGAAGCTCATGCGTTTCAAATTGAAGGCACAAACAGCATACATAAGGACGCCGCGAGTTTACCTAATGAAGTGGATGACCTGTGTGAACCCATTAATGCTAAGAATGCTCATCTGAAACATGGATATCTTCTCAATTTACGGACCAGGAGCTAGCAGTAGCCGGGATGCTTTTGTCTCGCAATAAAAGAAAAACGAGAATTGTGAGTGGAGTGGTCTTATTCATACGAACTCGCCTAGAGGTACATCTATTACACAACCTAGAGTTCATCAATCTTGATGGCTCCATATGGTGTTCAGTAAGATTGTCTACCAACTCGAGGTGTCTGGTTGGAGTCATCTACTGGAAGCATATTGACGACATCGAGTACGAGAATCGTATGCTGGAAAGATTATACTGCTCTACTCGTCTTGGATTCACCAATATTCTGACTCTAAGGGACTTCAATCTTCTCAAAGTCGTTATGGTGGAACATACGTACATTGGCGGTGAAAACACAACTAAAGCTCTGTTCCTCAACCTCACTGAAGATCTGAGATTTTTTGAGAACGTGAAATCGGCAACTCGTTGGAGAAACAGTCGAACATTGTCATGGTTATTTACAAACGGAGAATTCCCAAATTACAACCTCTCAGTCCTGGCTGTCTTTGGGAAAAGCTTTCACGCCAACATGCGCTGGAATTTCAAATGGTCGTATGTGTCAGCTTTACAAGACAATCTACAGGAGATGGATTAGGATGTTCACCCTCAACTTGATGTGGATGCTTATTGGGACTTCTTACTGCACATGATCTTATGTGCAACAAAGTAGTCTGCTCTTCAAATGGTTCACAAAATCTACTAGCAACCTATAGTCATCAAGAACCCTACTTTTCTTTTGCTAGACTGCAAAAAGCACTATTGGGTAGAGTGCAGACGAAAATTATGGAGCCCCTGGTATGCGACGGTATACACAACTATTTATTATCCTTAAACTTCTTTTCACCCCAACAACACGGTTTCAGGATTGGTCAATCTTGTATAATCAACCTGCTGACTGTGGTGAACATATGAACAACCATCCTTGATAGCAAGGGGAAGGTTGATGTGATTTACCTCCAATTCTCAAGAACTTTTGATAGGGTCAACCATGTATGTCTTATCAGTAAGCTCAAACGATTAGGTTTCAAATAACCTTCAATTGACTGACTCATTTCATATCTAGAAAATCGACGTTCTAAGGTCAGGCTTAACTTCATTTCCTCTCAGGCTATGGAATATCCTAGTGGGGTCCCTCATGATTTAGTACTGGAACCTCTTATTTTCCTAATTTATATAGACGATCTTCCATAATAGGTATCGTCTGACTTATCACTTCTTGCTGAAGACGTGAAACTTTGGAGAGAGATGCTCAACCAAGAGGATATACTGGCACTTCGGGAGGATCTCACTCGGCTTCAAAGTTGGTAAAACGACAATGGATTTACCTTTAACATTTCAAAGTGTAAAGTAGTTCATTTGAGATATGATACAGACTACAGCTACCATGTAGGCAACTCCTCTCTAGAAGTATCCCAAGTTACTTACTTACATACCTACTTACTTGCTTACTTACGCCTGTTACTCCCAATGGAGCATAGGCCACCGAACAGCATTCTGAAACCCACTCTGCCCTGGGCCTTCTTTTCTAATTCCATCCAATTCTTGTTCATTTTTCTCATGTCTATTTCGATTTCCCGGTGTAATTTGTTCTTTGGTCCTCCTCTTTTCCTTTGACCTTCAGGATTCCATGTGCGGGCTTGTCTTGTGACGCAGTTGGGTGCTTTCCTCAATGTGTGTCCCATCCACCTCCAGCGCTTCTTCCTGATTTCTTCCTCCGCGGAGATCTGGTTTGTTCTCTCCCAAATTAGGTTGTTGCTAATAGTGTTTTGCGTAGACAACTGTTAATAAACACTTGCATCTTCTGGATGATGGCTTTCGTAGTTCTCCAGGTTTCCGCCCCATACAGTAGAACTGTCTTGACATTTGTATTGAAAATCCTGACCTTGGTGTTGGTTGACAGTTGCTTTGAGTTCCAGACGTTTCTAAGTTGTAAATATGCTGCTCTTGCTTTGCCGATCCGCGCCGGCATCAGATCAACCATGTTCATCAATGATGCTGCCCAAATATGTAAAGGTTTTTACATCTTCCAAATCTTCTCCGTCAATTGTGATTGGATTGGTGCATGCTGTGTTGTGTCGGGGAACCTTGCTCTTCCCTTTGTGTATATTGAGACCTACTGCTGCTGAGGCTGCTGCTACACTGGTCGTCTTCTCCTGCATTTGTTGTTGCGATTGCGATAGGAGGGATAGATCATCTGAGAAGTCCAGATCGTCCAACTGCATCCTAGATGTCCATTGTATTCCGTGCTTCCCTTCAGATGTTGACGTCTTCATGATCCAGTCGATCACCAGGAGAAAGAGAAAGGGTGAGAGTAAGCAACCTTGTCTAACACCGGTCTTCACTTCGAACGAGTTTATCAACTGTCCTCCATGCACAATTTTGCAGTGTAATCCGTCATATGAACTCTGTATGATATTGACTATCTTCTGAGGAACGCCGTATTATCGATGAAGCTTCCATAGTGGTGTTCTGTCCACTCTATCACATGCTTTTTCGTAGTCAATGAAGTTGATGTAGAGTGATGAATTCCATTCAGTTGATTGTTCCACAATGATCCGTAGAGTAGCGATGTGGTCTGTACATGACCTATCCTTACGGAATCCTGCCTGTTGGTCACGAAGTTGGGCGTCTACGCAGTCCTTCATTCTGTTTAACAATACCCTGTTGAAGACTTTTCCCGGTATTGAGAGAAGAGTGATGCCCCTGTAGTTATCACAGTTGCTGAGATCGCCTTTCTTCGGTATTTTGATCAGAATTCCTTCTTTCCAGCCTTTTGGTACTTGTTCCTCATCCCAAATCTTATTGAAGAGAGAGTTGAAAACGATTTAGGAGTACTGGTGCCCAACGATTTGAAGTCTTATGCAAAGTGTGACAAAAATGCCTTTTGAGCAAATCTTGCACTGGCCAGTGTAACGAAATCAATTTGGGGACTCAAATTCAAGGTTTATGAACAGTGCATCTAATCACCGAAACTCTACCTACTGGAGTACAGGCCTCTTAAGTGTGATCTTCTAATGGCTTACAGTATCCTTAACACTTATTGAAATCCTCCTAAATACTTACTTAAACTTAGCTCAAACACAAACCTAAGGATAAAAACCAGAAACTGGGGGCATATCTCAGCATAACGGACTGTAGACACAACCTGTACTTCTTGAGAGTAGTCAAATGCTGGTATTCGCTGTCGGCTGAGCTAGTCCAAGAGACTTCCTAAAAGTCCTTTAAGAGGAAACTGGAGTTATTCTAAAGGATTAAGGATAGTACCTTACTATGATCTACCAATTTCTTTTACTTCTTTCATCGGTAATATATCTAGGTTCTTGCCTGGAGGTATTGGTGATTCACCGCTATTAGACACGGATGCCTGTTAAGCGAAAGCTTCTTCTGTTCCGTCTAAAACCATTTGAACCATTTGAATATGTCAAAATCCTATATTCTTACCTCTCATATGTGTCAGACAATCTTATCGTCTGAGTGCTTTTTATATGCATCAAATATACTTGCCTATTGAATGAGCATTTTTCAAAGGCAATGAATGTTTGGCTTGAGTTATGTTTCGAAGGCACAGGCCTAGTGATACTAGCGCAGTTAAGTCTAGGAAAAAGTTTCTAAGCGAAAAAGAAAGTGCTCATAAAATAAAGCACTTGAAGATTCTGATAGGTAGTGAATAAACTTGTTTTATTTAACCTATGTATCTTTCAGATACCCTACCAGATGATGAACTTCAACCATTTTTCGTTGAAAATTCGTCTCTAATATTCCTAGTGTTTAGTGATTGTTTCTTCAGTTTGGAGTGGGATGTCAAATTAAAGGGTATATTGTTGTTTCTTGGCATTTCAAATTCATAGGAAGCAGTAATTGCATTAAAGATTTGGAGGTAGTGCTTACAGTATTTGAGGTGGTATCTTTTTCTGAGTGATCTTATTTTCAGAAAGTACTGTTATTGTTGCCGGAATATATCCACCAAAGATGGCAACATAACTGTATCAGTAGGTTTTCTGTGTTTTTAGTAACTCACTTCATTTAGTTGAAGTAATTGAAGATCTCCTGTACGAAAAGAATGCGCTCACTATCCGTAAAAGGGGAATCAGGCTATTTTTAATATGGTATCAAATACTTGGCTTAAATGCGACATCTGTCTGCCACAGACTTTTCTACAATCTAGTCCCTGAATTTGGCTCACTTATTGCAGAATATCAAAAGCGTGAAAAATGTGATCAGCTCAAGCACAACCATCTTCAGGCTAGAAAGTTCTCGACGGATACACGCGGGCAAATGATGCAAGAGTCAAGATCCTCGAATGTTGTTGCCCCGCGCGAACGGGTCGCACTCCTAACTGCCGCTGCTCTAGGAGAGGATGAATCGGTAAATGTTTTGATCTCTCCCCCTAAATTTGATAATTTTGTAGTCTGACGATAAATCCCTAGTCCTGCTTCGGGCACTTCTACGTTTCCTTGCCTCAGAATCCTTCAAGGTCGAGTGGTCGCAGCTTCGGTATGAGCAGCATTTAATGCAGTTATGGTTTCTGTTCGAAAAGTTAAAACATTCGTACCTCCCCGTTATTTTTCCATGGTAAGTGTTTTAGAATGTGAGTAACCTAATCTCATGTCTAACAGTTTATTATTATTGATCTAAAAACTTCCTACTCAATAGGTCGTGCTATGTTCTGAGAAATTTTTTATCCTACAAGGCCGTTACGAATAAATGACATTCTTAGTTCATGGGTTTTCGATCATAGGTATCTTTGAAGTATCAGTCGTGTATTTTGGGACTGCTGAGTAAGCAACGATCGTGCTAGGAGTAGAGTAGTAGGTAAGGATAGCGGATGGATTGAAGAGGTTGCAAGTCTTCATCAACTGAGTTGGTTGAAACATGTTGCATATGCTCGACCAATTCCCACTTTGGTGGTCGATGCTTTGTGCTGTAGGAGAAAGCTGGTGATGACCAAACCAAAACGTCGCATTAGTCCATAAAATTGCTGACAATCGAAATGAGCCGTGTTACTAGGTATAAACTACCTTGTTAGGGTCCGCGTGATTATCATAACCAACGGCTAAAGACTTGAATAAATTAGCTGAAAATTGTTTGGATGGCCCAGGTGCATCTGCTATTTTTCTTCCTCCAAATTCCGAGATTCCAACTTTTTGTCGTTTTCATTTCACTGATTTAAATTTTCTCGAATCGTATCTTCAATGCCTAATCTTTCCTATTACCACTGATACTGTTACTACCTCTACTATTTTGGCGTGACGTTTTCATCTTCGTACTAATTGATTATGGCGAATTGAATCGATTTACAAGCGTACTAGGTCCTACGTTGTGGTTGACTGATAAGGCAGAACTGCCTGACATTACAATCAGCCAGTCAGTTGCGAAGTAGAACCTTTCACATACATGCATCGGTTCACTAAGTATAATTCGGTGTTTGAAATGCTGCTAAGTTGATGGTTAATATCTTATTTGTGGAGCAAACACGATATCTAAGCTAGCGACGAATCCGAATGACTTCACATCAAGGATACGTTTAATGAAGTCTCCTAGTTCTTGGTCGATCACTGTATTCGAAGTACTATTCGCAAATTATATAGCCAGTAGCCATAAGTCTTTTACATCTGAAATTACCTGTTGACAATTCGCTTTATTATGCTGAAGAATTCAAGCATGTTATAGTGCTGTAGTTATACGTTTTTTTTGGGGTTTTGTTTTCATGTGGTTTTCCATTGTTCTTGTGTTTGAATAATCGTGTCGATTTTTACAGCTTAGTTACTTATAATTGTCACTTAATCTATTATTCATGTGCTAGGTGACATACATTACTGTTATTTTTCAGATGAGTCACGTCTCGTTTGTAAATTAGTAATTCCCGACTACACGAGCTAAAGTAAATGTAAAAGGGTTCAGAGATGATACCTATTAATCAGGAACCACGTTGTATAGCCATGAAACAATCTTCTAATACAGATATCCTAAAATAAATTACAAAAAACGAGATGTAATCTGTTTGATTATATTTTCACTACAGTAGACTGACACGAAACATTAGACTTGTATATTTATCATATTTCAGTGACAAAAGGAAATATAGTGAGTGGTAATCAATGAGTTCTTTTTGGCTTAATGAAAAAATCATCTCTTGTTTTATAATGTCTCAATTTAGCCTCAGAAACCTCGGTTGATCTGACGTCTAAAGTTCCAGTCTAGTATTTCTTCTCCCATCAATTAACTTCGATTAATTTGTATCTCAATCCAACCTGATGAAGCTTCGTTCTCTGAACTTGATGGTTTAGTCGAAGAGCTTTCATTTTTATTCTGACTTTAGACAGAAGTCATTCGAATCTCGTGCTAATAATGTTATTCAGAAGAACAATTATAGTTCCACGATCAATCCATTCAACGTAGAGAATTCTATCAAGATCATCCAACTGAGCTAAAAATCTTCACCATCTCAACATGATTTTTAAACCAATAGTGTACTCAAAGCAGTGTTTGAAAGTTTATAATTTATCGTAATTTCCGTAGTTTCTTTATGAATAAAACTACATGACTTGCCCTCTAATCAATAGTTCTGTATATACGCTGTCCCTCTCATAGGCTAAACTACTGAAAAGATTCTTTAAAAGTTCTGTTGCTTAATTGGACTTTTGTTTTCTGTCTGTTACTGTTTTTTTGTGTAGGAGGAGAGCAATATTTCACTTAATGCATGTTTTTTTGTTGGTAGAATAAAGTCTACGCAAGTTGAAAAATCTGGATAGGGTGTAATTGATGACAAGCTACAAGCTATCTCAGCACGGATTCGAAAAGCTCTTTTAGCTTTTTCCAACTTACGTCATCTATGGCGAAGGCGAGATATCCGTCTATCAATTAAGCGACAAGTATACTGCTCAGCAGTTCGTTCTGTTTTACTTTACGGTTGAGAAACGTGGCCGTTAAGATTAGGAGATATTCGTAAGCTACTAATATTTGACCACATATGTCTTATAAAGATTGCTCGCATCTTCTGGGATCACCGGGTAAATAATAGTGAGGTTGGACGTAGGGTATTAGGGAATGATGGTAAATCAGTTGATGAGGTTGTGAATCTTCATTGACTGAGATGGTTGGGCCACGTGTTACGTATGCCCGAACACCGATTACCACGACGCGCAATGCTAACCGGTGCTGGGGATGGTTGGAAGAAAGTTAGAGGCGGCCAAACCAAAACGTGGCATCAATGCTTGAAGTCACTAACTTCTAGTCTGGGACATGTTGGTAGATGCAGACTACTTGGTTGGGGTCCGCGTGACTATCGTAACCAATGGTTGGAGACTGTGTGTGACATGGCTCAGAATCGATCACAATGGCGTCGGTGTATGCACTCTCTGTCTTAAGCTGTGAGATTAAAATTACATTATACCTTTCTTTCTAGGAACTAATTCTTTCTTCCTGTATTGTATCTTTATACACAATCTTTCTTTTATATATTACCACCTCTGAATTAACTACTTTTATGAATCCGGTGTCCATCTTGTTGTGTTAATGAGGTATGGTAACTTGGACCGATGCATATATGTGCCTGGTTCTACGTTGTAGCTAATTGATTGATTGAATTGCAAGTCTAACTTACTTTTTGTTTCGACCTCCACTTTATCCACTGTAATTTGAAAAGCCAATCGGTAAACCATGATTCTAAGAAAATATAAACTTTTGTTAAATCCAAAACCCTAAATTTCATTGTTGAGGTCTCAATTGACTTCACAGATACCAGTGTAAATGCTGAAGTAGGTTGGTGTAGCCCAATACTTTGTTCTTTGTTTTCAGGTTAATTGCATGGATGCTTCAATCCAGGAACTATTTTTTATAATGAGCGGTGTGGCTATTGAATGTTTTTTTTTACAAAGTATGCATATTATAAACTCATTATTTTTGTTAAGTTTTAGAGTTATGTCTTTTTGTTCCCATTCAATATACAGTTTATCTCCTTTATACTCAATATATTCGCCCTCGATCTCATCCCAAGCGAACAACACAGTCCCATTAACTTCAAATATTTTACAGGATTACCCAATCCATCCATCACGTCTTTCCTACTATCAGTTAGAATTTGCCTGCTGGTTGGCAACTTTTGTATATACTGGTCCACGGGAATCAAGTCATGCTATGTGAGTTTTTGCTTTTTTGGGGCCATGTGTATAGTTCGCCTTCTTAAGTTAAAAACGGGTGGATAAAGCCGAGTGATATTTAAATAATAAGCCGTGTTAACGGATTATGGACATTCTCACTTTCACTCATCACTTATGCAAAGCCTATGTTATGTAGTTTGTAAGATTTATTAAACAGGATGTTTTTCCTTTTAGCTCTTCAGACGGTGGCTTCGATTCAAATTTTACTACCCATGGTTCTGTAGTTGGTACTACTGGCCCATCTTTTAACCTGGCTGGCAGTTTCCCATGGGATACACATGGTGATCCAAACGACTTTCTTCTTTCTCGACATTTCCGCTCATTCATAGGTTGTCCTGGACATGGTGAATTCGAATCTGGATCATATTCAAAGGTTAACAGTTACTCCAAACTTTCGAGTTCCCCACCCGTTCAAGCATCAGTTTATCTACAAAATGGCGACGAGAACTTTGTCCAGGAACCAACTAACCTGGCTGCGCCAAACCTCTCTCCTAAACCAAACAGTTATCTACTCAAAGATACTGTTGTAATTCCTTCCACTGTTCAAACATCTCCACTTCCACAAAAATTTATTTTCACTGAACTATTTTTCAATTACGATGAAAAAGTCGTAAGTAAACATTTAAATTAGAAATTTTTAACATTTGCTGGTGAGTGAGTAGTTTGATTGGATGAATTTACCTTATTCAGAGTCTTTTTGCTGTCCAACTGCAAATGTTTTAGTGTCCTAAGCTACATGATTAGTAAATCTCTCACTGGTTTTATCCTACTGATGACTAATAGTTCAGTGGTATCTTGTTTTTTACTTAGGATGTGATCGAACTATCACTGACTGTTACCACTTACTCGCGTATATCTATTTCGTTTACTGACTCATTATAGGCAGTCTCAGACGCTTCTTACTTAAGGTTTTATGTGTCGTAGAATTTCAACTGTTTATCGGGAAAACAATCTTTTTACTAGGATAGGGGAGCTAAAGAATTCATAGGTTAATCATTTGAAGTAATGGTAGTTGTACACAACTAATGTAACCACTACCTTTCTCCCAGTTATCATCACTCTTAATTATTCATGAACCAAACTTTGATATCATTTAGATTCTTGTAATATTTCACCATGAATTTTAAACAGTCCTTGGAGTAATAGTAATGCTTTAGTGCTGGTGAAGATTTGTGTTTGGAATTCTAGTCGTATTTTCTGGCCGTTTTTGTGAAAAAGTCCCAAATAAAATTATTCAGTTTTTATTGAAACTACGAGAGAGCCTGAATCAATTTTCGATAGATGCTATCTAGCTGATAATAATTTTATATCCTACATATGGTTTTCTATAAGATTGCCTTGAGGAGGGACAAGTATCAATGTTTTTGAATTATAATTAAATACTGGGTCCATTGCTTGATTTATATAACTTGAAGATTAATCTGCTCCTACAATTATTTAGCTCCAGGAAATAAATCATTCATAATATTGTGATTGAAAGTCGTATACATTTTTTCTGATTGTTTGATCATCAATTTAAACGTATTTACTAATAATTTTATTCTTCAGGTTTCTATGGTTCATGAAGTGTTATATGGATGTAGACAAAATATTGATTTGGTACATGATATTTTACATCAGGCATTGCTACTTCCTTTGGAATGTCACAAAGCTCTTTTCTTTATCGTTACAGTTTATGGTTCGTGGTTGGAAGTAAGTGTTTATTCAGTTTCCAAGATTATATATTTTGTTGTCACAATTTCGAACTCCTGGAAGCATTTTCAAGTACTTTAAAACTTAGTTTATATATGATAACAAATGATGCATTTTTAGTTAACATCGGCTTTTATGTGATCTGTTCATTATGTGCTATCGATTAACTTATACAACTAAGAACCCAAACGAATGTTGACCAAAGAATCGTAAATCAAGACTGACGTCAATAGTTTTGAACTATTTGTGCCATTCAGATAGAATAACGTTCCTATGCTAAGATTCACAAGGCTTGTAGCGATTTAAAGCAAAACAGTGTGCCATATTGGAATAATCCAGGTCTCTATACGGACTTCATAGTGTCCTAAGTTTACTGAATAGTCGTAGTACAGAGTGCCAAATTTAATCAATCATAACGAGTATTTACACCTTCTTTTTCATTACTTTGAGAATGGGACTAGCTATCCTGGTTTGTTTCACGAAATTAAAAAAATGAATTTTTATTACTGTTTACAATTTCCTAAATACACTTCCGTCCATTCTACTGAATATTTCGAAAGTTGTCAATACAACTTGGATATTTACCGAGGCCTAATAATGTATAATACCAGTGATAATTTGACAATCACTTTTATTCTGTGTAGGAATTTCCACTTCTCTCCGTATATGTAGTTCAGTGAATTGTTGATTTCATTTATATTTTGTCTTAAACTGTTAAAGGTGGTTGTATGTAGTACCATTTTAGCTAGTAACAAATATAATAATCTTTGCCTGTAATGTCTAACTACTGTTATTGCTTTTTGTCGTTCAAATTTAGAACAAACACAATCGCCCAATTTTTATGCAAGCTTTAGATAGTCCAATGAAATGTATTAGTCCGGTTAGTTTCAAATTTGTTGTTCTCCCTCTTTCTAAACATTTTAGTATCTGTTTTCTCTCATTTTTAAAAGTATAATAGACCAGTTGATTTTATCGCAAATATATTTACATATTAATTAGTGTTCAACTGTTTGTCCGTTCTAAGCATGACATTAAAAGAATCATCATAAGAGAATTAAAAAAACCCAGTTAGCTTTAGCTTTTAAGAACACTAACCTACTGAAAAAATACTCAAAAATGTTCTGTTACAGAAACTGACTGTAGTTTTCATTCCTAAGAATACTAGGTTAAATAAGTGTCAAGCTTTGGTCTTGTTTTTTAAATTCGCTTTTTATTAAGCTAATACCTTGTAATTATTACAACGTCGTAAACTGAAAGTCATTTCTCAGTGTTAGCTTCCTCCTGACACAGTTTCTAGTCCCCTAACAAGTTGAACAACTAAGAAAAAGAAATCTTTTACTGCATCAGAAATGGAAATATTATAAAGGTGGAAAGCTGGCGGCAGGTAGGATAAGAGATTCAAATTGGCGTAAACAAAATTAGGTCATGATAGGCGATGTAAATGGATTTTGTTAAGTAAACGTTATACGCGCTTATCTTTCGCTAATTTATATCTACTTAGATAAAGTTGACCGTATTTCGTTACCTCGTTTAGCTTCATTGTAACACCTTCCAGAATGGATAATTGATATTTTGAATTATTTTCTTATCGTTTGCTCCCCAGGATAACTTTGTATACACTGGTATTTCACGTAAATTTCAGTTGTACGTGACTTTATATTACATTATTATTGTACAGTTTATATTATGCAATACTGTACGTAAGAAATCCTTGTTTTAAATTTTGCTTTCGCTAAGAATACAAAGGTTACAATAATTATTTGGTTGTCAAGTTCCGTTCATAAAAAAGTAAACTTTTCCAGTCATGTAAATGTAAAAAATATTTTTCTTCTTATTACGTAAACTCTCAGCCAGTGAAATCACAAGTAAACGCATCTTCAACAGAACACAGTCAAATGCTTAAAACGAATGGCCGTATGAATGATCCTAAACAAATTCAACAGTCGCAAATTGAAGATTGTCCTATTGATGTGACTATATCTAAGGATGATGTTGGCGTCAACGATCCAGAAGAATTGAAAGGTTGTTTACAGAATACAATTCAGGTTAGCTGTAGCATCATTAACATTTGAATAATTAATTAACAAACTTGGCTGTTCACTAGTTACCTTAGAATAATATTATTTATTGTTTATTTTGTTTTACTTACTTACTTGCTTACCACTTCTAGTTACATCTACATGCAGATCTCAGTGATCAATAATGATTATTGATTTCCTATGTTTGTTCGACTGATTTACTTATTGTTGCGACCTGTATTAAGGATGCAATCAAGTTTTGCACACAGTTAATTTATTCATATCCATTTTCAAGTAATAATGTTTAAATTCTATTTGATTGGAAAACCTTTCAAGTTATTTTACCATACATATATATAACATATTTAATTATTTTATTAAATTTATAGAATGTGTTGACCTCTCTATAAATTATTGATTGCTTTAAATGGTAAAATTATTATATTTCTTCTCTAAGTCCAGTGATATTATTGTGTATAAATTAGTTTTAAATGGATATTCCAAGATTTCATCTGTCGAGTAGTAGTTTAGAAGTTTTTATCTAGTACAAAATCTGGTATTTATTGTAGCCTTCGGGAAGATTTGCTTCACAAAAATGTTAAAACTTTTGTTTTCCTGGAGATCCTTAGCTGATTTTGCTTAACACTGAAAACACAAACACTAACTACTGGCTTATTTTGTATATGATTACCCTGTAAGATCGGACTACACAAAAAGATGGTCGGTAATTTGAAATCAAGGTAGTGTTGTGACACTTTATTACCAGTCTCAAACGATAAGTGTAGTTTGAATAGTATAATGAGAAGATTATCAAAACTATATCATATATTAGCGCAATACTTTTTGAACAATCTGATCACACATATGCTTGTTATGGTTATTTATATATGAAAAGTTAAAAGGTCCACTAGACGAATGAAAGGTAAAAAGACAGAAAGATAATAAAGAAAATAATGTGGATAGCAATATGAAATTCATCACGCTGGATAATAAAACAGTTTTACCAGAGATGGTTCAGCGTGGGAACAGATTGTTCTTGAGCACATGAAAGGGGTTTGAATTTTTGTATGTCCGGGACCCCGGTAAACATAAGTATATGCCCTTGAACGCTTTTATACAAAACCACAGAAGCAGAGTATGATGTTTTTCCTATCGTTTATTAGTCTTGTGAACCGTTTTTTTTAAATGATCTACGCAACATTCGTCCGTTCTCATTAGGTTTTGTGCTGTATTCTATGATGAATGCTTACATACATATGCCATTAATATTTGTACGCCAGTCAATGTCTGTAGTGAATAATAACGAATTACTACTTAATAATCATAATTTATATTTGAGGTCGTTGTAATCTAAGGGTGATAGATTACAGGGTGTACTGATTCATAGTTTATTTCATTGTGGCCACTGCAATCACTGCCGACTTCTAAAGCCCGAGATTTCTATAGGTATTCCTTCTATATATAATTTAAACACATAAACACTGGTACAAGGGGGCACAAAATACATACGCGACACACGATAACAATAAGGCTAGTAACAGTTACCATTGGTTTGTGTGACGTCTGTTATACTGCCCGGGTGCTCAGATTGGAGCAGGTGGTTTTCTTAGGAGGCCACACCTCGAGCCTTCGACCTAAAGATCTGATCCACAAGGAAGTGGAGCAATGTCAGAAGTTGCAGTCCCATGGTAGCCGGTGACCAACAATAGGTTTGCATGCCTTTTGTTCCCTCAAAATCCTGTGCACTATTGGTTTGTAATCAGAGTTTTCCGACTCCCCCAAGTGGATCCTCCATATCCACCAACGGTTAAGGCGCCAGACATTCGCTTTTCGTCCTCTCAATTTCGTAAACAACACCTCCACTGCGAGAAGGTAGTGTGTAAGACTTCGCTGGTAGTGGTTGTATACGCCTTGTCATGTGAGTGCATTTTATGAGGGAGAGTTGACTCAACCCACCCCCGGCCATACAAGAGCATTTGGGGGCATATATATATATATATATATATATATATATATATATATATATATATATATATATATATATATATATATATATATATATATATATATATAATTAAGTTGAAATCTTATAATATGCAAGAACTTCATTTCTTGTCTAATCACCACTTACTGTTCTTCGATGCATCCAATAAATCGAATTGAAATAGTTAATCAGCACAGTTACTATCCTTTTTACCTTAATGCCATCGTTATCCAAATCCGTTTGTCCAGTTATCAACCACTTACTAAACTTCTTAATGATATATATTCTTAGAACGTATTCATACTGTATATTCAACTAAGTTATGTCATTTGTCTGTTACGTTATGTAATCTCGAAAAATATTTCGGAAACACAAACACACTTGTTTTACTAACCTTTTTGAGTCTTTTTCTTCAATCATCAATTAGTAAATTTTTGTTTATGTTTATTGATTTTATTTATCTGTTTAAATTATTTTTCGTTGTTGTTTGTTGTTGTATAACACACCCATACACCCTCTAGATTATGTTGGAAAATATGGCCAATATATTTTATGCCAGTAGTTTAAATCCTAACTTATCGGAATCACAAAATACAAACAGAATCAGTACAACTGGAACAGATTATACAAAATATCAAATTGATTTATGCCGTTTAGTGTTACAGATTTTTCAATTTGCTAGTAACAGTAATGAATTAACTTCAGAGACCTGGTAAGTATACAGTATAAACTTTAAAAAAAAGTTGTTATGGTTGCATTTTACGTGTGAAAAAAGGAACAAATTATTAATTTTTTTCTTATTCTCGTACGTTTGTCGTAAACAGGCTCAGTTGTTTAATCACATGTTGGTTATGTTAGAAAACACTATGCAACACAACAGAAATATGTCCTTCAGTTAACAACTTTAGAAGTATACTTAAACGCCTAATTGTGTAGTTGGTCAGTTCAGATAACTATTAAAGCGGTAACACAGAAAAAAATATGAATATTTTACCTTGTGTCCAACATCTCAAACGTATTAAAATTTTTATTTCATGTCAAACACCATTAAACAATATGATTAGTTGTAAACTACTCGTGCTAATCAACGCTGGTACTTAACCAAACTGTAATGGTTTGAACACTAGACGATCATTTCACTTTCTTGAAGTGTATTGTATCAGTTATGTAAACAGACTGTTTCAATCCAACGATGGCCCTACTACCATTTGATATAAGTGATCTTATCTTTTGATATGATGCTTAAAACCTACAGACAGGAATTTTCTGTACCGTTAGTAAATTCAGTGAAATCATACATTACGTCTCCTAAGGAAATTTCGATAAGATTTTATAGTTAGGTTTTATCTGTTTGTGTCATTCACATCCTTAACTGTGAATTCTCCAAACATCTCTTCGATTGGATTAATCTATTTATAAATCATTGGTATTTTCAAAACTGTATTTAGAACAAATAGTTTAAATCTTATTAGTTTAGTGTTTGATTTCCAGTTAAGTTTCTCGGTTTTTCCAATGATCTACATAGCCCACGTATTATAAGAGTCGATTATATTTCATGAGTCTAATCATCCTTTTCATATTTTAGGTCTAAATTATTGTCCATCCTAATGGATATAATGCGCAAAACAATGGTTAATACTTCGCCAAATAATGTTCAGAATTACAAATGGTTATCAAACAATAAACTTACACAGAATCTTTTTCAGGTAGGATATCTTGATAGCTGTTTACCCTGTACTGTAAAATTCTTGCTCCTTTTGTAGGGAAGCAACATGTTAAATTTACGGTTACTTTGTTGACCTCATTTTTCCCATATATCTCTGTTAACACTTAGAAATCTATGTAGTGCATGTAAGTATATCAGTTCAATCTTAACTAATAGTCCAAACTAATTAATTTATGAGACGAAAATAAAACTCGTAATCCAACTAATCGGAAATTGTGCCAATTGTTCGGATTCACTGATTTCTATATGGCAGTTATTGGCATAATTCTCAGAGATACTTATATTATTACTCGGTTAGTTTTTCTCTACGTTGGTCGATTGAAAGTAATGTAATAAACACATTTTCAACTGTGCTTCAAGTTGAAATACATTTTTGCTTAACAAAAGGGCAGCAAAATGAGTTATGAAGCACTAAACACAGGTACAGCAATGTTGTTTTCAAAAGAAAATACAGCAAATTAATTGTTTACTGTGGTTCTATCCGAGCATAAATACTAGGTTGTTGCAAATATTTTATTTTATCTAGGTTACTAGTTTTGATTGATACTACATCAAATTTATAATGTATCATTAGTAAATAACAGGGTCCGTTAATTTTATTTGCTCCATATTCACTTTCAACTGGTATGTGATCTGAGATCTAGCCTCTCAAACTGGTTACTTACCTCTCTCTTAGTACTTAAAATTCTCTTTGTGAAATCATGAATCGATCAATGTTAGACCACCATTAAGAACCTGTAAGGACTGGACGGCCGTTTCGTCAGTATGAAACTCAGCAGTACACATCCACGATCCTGTTCGCGGTAATCGAACCCAGAAACCGTGCAATCTCCACAACCCTATACTGGTTCTCTTCGTGATATTGATTTTTAATCAAAAGCGTCAAATGGATTACATCTTGGTATTAGAGTGTATCGTAATCTTCCCCCACTACTTATTATATCAAGGGTACCGATACATTATAGTTAACTGGAACCACGCGTTACGTTGCCATTTCTTGCAAATATGGCTTGCAGAGTATGCACAGAATACCTCTTTATAGATCTACCACACTATTCTTCCATACATTCATCTATGGAGAATATTCGATGGATTGTTACATGTTTATTAACCAAACTGTATCATTCTCGAAGGTGACTATTCAGAGATATACAGGGACTATGTAAAATCGATAGCCACACGTAAAACAGGGTTTTTGTAAACTTGCCATCATCTTTACGTTTATTGGCTCCATAAATATTTTACCATTGTCTTCATTCTGGTAGAAGTAGTTCCTTTGAGCTTTCATCAACTTATATTTGGTTGTATTTTTTATTTTGGTATATATCGTAGAATTAAAACCCATAAATCTATTTCCTTCTTTGTAGACTTTAAATGGTGCTTTATTACGTGCATCTCTATTTTCTACAATATCTTCAGAGTCATGGGACCAGTGTTTAAATGTTTACTCTCAGTTAAGTCACTGGCCATCACTGATAATTGAATGGAAAGTATGTTACATAATGGTAGAAATCCCTATTTATATATACTGTTTCTATCATATTCAATTAAGTACCTCAATAGCAGTTGGAAAAAAACTGAGAAGGAGTACCTAGGACAGGGTTCGATGAATCCTGGTAGGAGGTTTATGCTCCTCCACGAGGGGTAACAGGCTAAAGGAAAGGATCTCAGTTATCTGTAACTATCGTATTATTCTTTGGTGTCCTAGTACAAACAAGAATAGAGGAGATGCTACCTCTTACAGAATTATCCTACGCAGTCCTTCCACGTGACTGAGGTGTGTCCATCGAAATGAGAGAGCATAATTTGTTGGTAGGAAGGGGTCCATCTGGTTGATTTCGAAAACTAGTTTCAGACGAACTAATGATGAACATGCGTTGTAGGATCCTAAATGAAAGAAAACCACATAAATTTGATTTAGTAGTTATTTACCATGGCATTGCGTCTTTTCATGTTAGTATACTGTCCTAAGAATTTATCTAAGTTGAAGGCTGAGTAGTCATCATACACAACACCACGTGTCTAGGTTTATTCACTAGTTCACTCAGTGTATTCATATAAAACCTGAGTATTTTATTAAAGAGAAGGAATGAGACGTTTAGTAGCTTTTCTCCCAATATAAAATATTCATGTTAGATTAAGATATTTCAAAAAAATTTTATTTTCATTTTGTTATAACTTATAAGTTTGTTATAACTATAAGTGTCGTCGATCTCTTAAGTGAATTTGTTTTTGGAGAAACCTCTTATATCAAAGCGCATTTACACTATCATATAAATTGTCAGGGATAGGTGTGTTCGAGTTTCGTTGGGTCTTTCAATCTACAATTAATTAGTTAGTAATTCCAACTATAATAGGTATAGTTCGAGATGTGTATCCGCATAATTCATGTAATGAAGATATTACTGTGATCTGTAAACATAGACAGCATACGTATTAGAGTTCTGTTATCGTAACAGCGGATAATTGAGAACAAGAAGCGTATGTGTGCAACAGTATATCTGTGAACATGAATCCATGTGTCATGCTATGAGGTGCTCAAAAATGGAACGGAAGATCAAAGGTTATGTTTTTACAAACAATAATTTTACAGTCAATAAATGTAATTGTACAAATTCTGGGAATTAATGAAAGAAATACGAATAGTGGCTAAAACTAATTACAAAATATGTCTATTTTAACTATCTCCACATAGCTCCCCACAGTGTCCGGAGGTAACACTGGTATGTCAAACAAATCGGGGAAAATAAGATTACATGCCTACAAAAATAAACACAAAGGAAACGCAAAAATAAATATGTAATGATATTTTTCGGAAAGAGGTTTTTGCTAATAGATGTATGTATATTACGGGATATAACATTCACATTAGTGATCTACGATATATTAGTTTACAGGGTCTTGTGTATATAGTTGAGCACTACAGAAATGAAAGTGCAATCACTAATAGTGTCTTAGGTTGACAAATATAATAAAATACGCAACTATGTAAAAGAACACTTCAATCATGATAAATCGACGTGGATGAAAAGAGGAATGACGAAACTTTTGAAATAACTTTTATATTTAAAGGAAAGACAATTATCTAAGTAAATATCATAAGGCACATAATATTTTACAGAGAAAGACAATCAACACGAATAAATATGGGCTAAGCGGCGTTGTCACATTGCAAGTAGCACCATAACACTAGGACAGAAAAGTTCACAATAATAATAGTAGCCGCAACAACTTCAACAAATCACAATATTATTCATTTAAGTCAACCACATCAGGTTCACATATATGAATTACGATATACTTGAGCATCGACCTGCTGAAATATATAAAGAAAAAGATTATTAGCGAATCTGATTGATTGTGATATTATGTTTAAAACCTTCGTTATTTTGGTTTAGATATCTTTTTTTCCCATTCTATTTCTCTCTCTTTGTTATTATTATCCAACAGAAAGTTATGCGAATGTTAACATGTACAATGTCTAAATTGGTATATGGTGTAGATTTGTCAGATTTACCTCAAGAAAAGAAAGGACCTCGAATTAAGCGTTTAGCAGGTATTTTCAATTTGTTCAATCCACACATCTGTATTTTATTTGTATTTCAAAATAACAGCTAGTTATACAAAATATTAGCAAATTAAATTTTTCTTACATTTCGTGTTACATTGTGCTATTATTAGTTATCGTTCAAGTGTACTATCACATTAGAAATGAAATATGAGTAGATGGACAAATAGATACATATTGTACAAGTCAAGTAGAGAGTTCATGTAAATTAACTCCACATATGAATATTACAAATATGTATGGTTTAGTAAAGTGTTTTACATTTTTATTATTAAATTTCTCATTACCTTTATAACTAAATTCAAATAATAAATTATTTTTCAAATTTAATTTTATTCTATATGTACACATATGTCTATATAAATTGATTATGCATAGACGTTGTAGGTATAGGAAATGGGCAAATCAACCATCATTTCATAATTTTCTATCCATTTAATTTACTATTTCGCCCGAATAATAATAATTATTATTATTATTTACACAACTTTTATGGGACATAAGCTAATGTTCATGATCATGATAAAGAATTCAGTGATGGTGAGCAAAAATAATCTAAATTTACTCCAAAAAAGAAAACAAATAAAATAAACAATAACAAATGAATCTGAAGTAGAAACATCACGAAATATTACGTATATGAATTATGTTGTTCCTTTTTAATTCTGAATAAATAATGCCTTCATATCGCCTATTAAATGTATTATTATTAGTAGTAGTGTGGTGTATGCTACTGATTTTTATTGATATAAGTAGTATGTGACCCCTATCATATGTGGAGTGCCTATCAAAAGAAGGTTAAGGAAATTGAATTGAAACAAACAGAAAGCGAAACATAATGGAATTGAGAATTGCAAAAATCATGAAGGATGTAAAAGAAAACTGATGGAAGATGTGCAAATTATGTATTTAATGTACGGTTTTTATAAATCTCGAAGACACTCCGTAATTTTGCATTAAACAACGAATTGATTATCTCCACCTAAGTATTCGTCCACTACAGTTTTAGTAGAGCTGAATCTTATTTAATTATTCGTTTTTTTTCTAAGAAAAATGTAATGATATCGATGTAATGATACCGCTTTTATTATGCATAAATTCAATGGCATAGTTATTTCCTGTCAGTGATTCTCTTCAAAAATTTAAAACAAATGGTAGAAGAAAACAACAATATCATTTGCAAAATATGATAAATTCAAGTTGTATTTTGTTTCCTCCTGTTTAAGTTATACATTGAGCGTGATAATTTTAGTTATTTCCAGTTAGTAAAATATTGCGGAATTTGTATATCAACAGAGAGTAAGTTAAAGAATAAAGACCGTTCAATGAAGAAAATTTTCTCTTCGATGATTTCACCTACTCAAGCTGTACATTTATAGTTAATTTTATTTGCTAATGATAGTAATGTAATAAAAGGATAGTGTTGGATAAGTTGAAAAAGCCCTGAAGTGGTCTTTTGTCATGAATTGTTTATGAAAATCAGGTATTAAAAGAAAGTTATATGATGATGGCCTAATGAAAGTGGTTAGGTGAACATAATTGTCCAGTTCCTGCTTCGGTTTGGACACCCGGGCAGTATCCCAGCCCTCACACAAATCAAATGAGGTTTGTGTGGCGCCAAATCTATGACGTGTTAGTTACGTAGTTGATTGGCCTGATGTTACTTATGTGCGAAGTGTATTTACTCACTTGTTTGTTTTCTTTTTGTATTTGTTTACAGGTTCTACTATTCTAGCTACTAGAACTCGACCGAAGTCATTGACTGAAGCAGCGTTGAATTATCATAATGACAATACTACTATTACTACTACTACTACTACTACTACTACTACTACTACTACTACTACTACAAATATTACTGCTACTACTATTACTACTACTACTGCATATAACAGCAGTAGTTTAGCAACCGTTTTGTCATCACCTCCTGCACCTTATGCTAGTGCATTATCGGTTTTAAGTATTCATCAAAATTCACTCGACGATGATAATTTGGCGTTAAATACTAACTCCATTGAACTACATTTATCATCACAGGAGAATTCACAAAAACAATTTGCTACGTATAATGAACTGAAAGCATCAAGAAATAATAATAATACTAGGCCGTGCATTGAAAAATGGACTTTTGACCCTGGATCCTCTGAAAACTATGTATTGGATAATAATAGTAATGGTAATGTAGTGGATAGCTATATCCCTTCTAATGTATCTTCAATTAATGGCACTCATGTTGAGTCGAATTCACAGGCGTTAAGTAATGATTTAACAGAGGTATATGGTAATCATTCTCTGCATAATTCACGGTCTATTTCTCATGAATTATCAAATCAAAATGAATCAAAGCGATTTAATGTAACCGTTAAAAGTGAAATATCGATATCAGAAAGTAGACGTATGTCATCTGTAAGACGTGCAACAAGTGAAATCACGCTGGAAGTTGTTAAGGTAATGATTACCTCCATTTTTTTCTTATTTCACTTTGTTTTAAAATTAGATTTAGATTTCCCATCATTAATACCATTCTCCTATTTCACTTTCGAAAGTACACTTTTATTGGTAATAATAATAATTCATGTACATTTTCTGAAATAATGGCCTAGTTCTTCCATTTTTTTACTGTTAACTTCAAAAAGTATGTTCCAATGTGTTCTAAGCTAAGTTCACATAATAATTTTGATTGGAAACTGTTTTCTTGATTCTAGTCTGTTCGATATATTCGGGTAGTTTTTGTATCTGAGTAGTAGTGTGACAGGTGAAATCTGATTATGACAAAAGCCTAGAACGATATGTCCGATTGTTATTCCGTACGAAGTCAATACTTGACTCCGAACGACAATAAAAGCTCCGCATTTGAACTGTCCAGCTCAAAGAACTTAGCATTACCGAAAGGATCCAACTAAGCTGCAAATCTTTATCATTTCAGTATCCCAAACCGGTTCATGTTGGGTTCTGTAGAGATATTTATATCTCTGTAAATGATAACTTGAATCATACTTGTATGTTGATGACTTATTTTTACTCAGCTCTCTATGGGATTTTCTACATTCGATATAGAAACTGAATAAGTAGTTTTCATATCCTATGTTTCTCTAGGGCAATAGTCATTATTCATCAGAAAAAACTACTCTAAAACTCTCCCGTTATTGGTTTTAATGGAATTCATCCATATAATTAAGTCTGTGATGGTAATAAAAAATCTATCACAGTGGTTCTTTCGTAGTCACAATTTATCTTACAAATCTCAATCATTCTTGATTATAATAATGACAACGATGTATGGTAATATACATATAAAACACCAGTGATTAGAAGATTGAATTTCTGACGTTTTACAACGTAGAGCAATAAATAACCGTTTATTTATCTTTAGTTCTTGACCTACATCACTATTTCTGTATTTTCTTCATTTTAGTTCATTTTCTTTTACTATGTTTTTGAGAATTTTCGAAACTTGAACCGAAGCACTTTTCTTCGACATTTCGTCTCCATTTATCTATCTGTTTGTTTGTTTATTGAAATTAGCCAATCATGAAAAGAACAGATGATTTGTTCTGGGAACTGCTGATACATAGAGTCACTGTAAATAAGATCTTGATCTTGATACTACAGTTTTGTCTATATACTTTCATTATACACAAGTCTGTTTTGTTTCTAAAATATCAATATGGAAAACAATCCCATATCTAATTCCTTATTTAACTAACAGGATAAATAAATGCTTTAAGTTTATTAACTGATTGAAGATACCCCAAAAAGAATTATAATTGAGGTTAATTAATTATACTCTTTTAATACTTTCGTAGACAGCAATTAATTCATTTGCGACTCTATAACAATTTTTTTTCATTTCACTACATCTTTGCTTGCAGATTATATATGTTTCTTAGTACAAGTTTAATATTCAGTGCAATTCAGTTATTTTCTCTATTTCAGTTATCGAAAAGCAGTTATATATATATATATATATATATATATATATATATATATATATATATATATATATTGTAGAACAGATATATTGCATATATTTTTTAAGCTTACTTTAATACATCTACTTTTTACTCTCAGAATCACCATTCTGCTCCACAAGCTATGGAGTCTTCATGTAACACGAGATTCAGCCGTCTTACTACGGATGATCATGATTTTCGGTTACATCCTAAGTTGTCTAGCCATCACCGTTTGTCTGACTCACTTAATTTGCTCACAACCGTATCTACTGCAGCTTTTTTAGGCAGATTTTCTCATCCTGTAAGTATGTCTTTTACTAATGTTAAACAACCAACATACTCCGAAAAAGCATCAGTCGTCCATCATTCGGGTTCCAGGATATTTGCAATTAGTTGTTTAGAAGATTCCCTTTCATTGAGTCAAAATGGTCTCAATACAGGCAGTTGTGCTTCAGGGGAAGAAATTCCTAATGAATCTTTAAAGGTAAAAATGATGATCTGTTAGTGCTTGCATACGCTTGCTTAAGTATTTTCCAAATTATTGTTCCTTACAAGTTTACAAAACTAAGATATAATTGCCAGATTTCAAAAGTTTAACACATTGTTAGTCATACTTCATGAAATAAATGGGTTTCAAAATTTACACTTTGAGATCAGCTTTAAATTAAAACAGTAAAGTTTTACATCAGAATTGCTCATACTTTAGTTTTATTATTAATAGTACTTATTGTCACTTGGTCGTAACTGAAACTTTAGAAAAACATTTAGTTTTGAATTCGGCTACTCTTCATTTCTCATTAACTTATTTGATGATCTAAGTTCATTTAGAAAGCTTTTTATTGATTATCGACAACAAACATTGGAATTCGCCGATATTTAAGGAGTACAATCAGATCATAGCCTAAGATTATCTTGATTTATTCTCATTCATATTATAACTAGCTTATGTCTCAGGTAGTACTTATTTAAACACATAAACATTGGTACAAGAGGGCACCAAATAGATATGCGTCACATAAATCATTCGATTTGTGTGAAGGCTGGGGTAGTGCCCGAACCGAAGAAGAGGGTTTTCTTAGGGGGCCACACTCGGAGCCTTTGACCTAAAGGTCTGATATACAAGGCAGTGGAGCAACGTCAGGAAATGCAGTCCCATGGTAGCCGATGACCAGCAATAGGTTCGTATGCCTTTTGTTTCTCCAAGATGTTGGAGCCGACATTCATCATTGGTTTGGAATCAGTGTTTTCCAACTCCCTTAGATGGACCCTCCGTACCCACCACCAACCCGGTTAGAGCGCCGAATATTCGCTTTTCGTCCTCTAAATCTCATAAACACCAGTGACGCAAGAAGGCAGTAAGACTTCACTGGCAGTGGTTGTATGCACGTGGCCATGTGAGGACATTTCGAGAGGGAGAATTGACTCCTCACTCTCGACCGTACCAGGGCATTTGGGGGCCAGCAGTACGTATGATAACAATAATAATAATATTACAGATAGCAAAGTAATGTTTTTTTTAAAACTTGACATCGTGTCAGAGTATTCCCCACTATATATATAGTCCGTGTTCTGTATCTACTGATTTATTCATGCTTCAAGCTTAAAAATCAGGCCACCCCAAAACTCAATTTTTTCAGTCGTTTTTAACATTGAGTCGTGTTACTTTTTTCGTTAGCATTTTATGTATAAATACGGTAGTCTTCGTATCGTTTCATTGGGGTTTATGTCTATAATTTGATCTCTTGCACACTAATTGCTCGGTTTCATTGTTTCATATTTAATCTATTGATTAATATTCTGTTCATTTTGAATGATTACAAACCTCGTTCATCCAATGATTTTTTTAAAATTATAACAAAAACAAATATTAGTCTTCACTGTGTAGTCGGTATTTTGATTAAAGTATTTTTTTTCTTTTTCTTTTATTAAACATCTTATGCTTAATACACATGTATTGTTGTTGTAATATAAAACTTAGTGTAATGATTTTCATTGTTTATTGTTTCATTTTAAGTCAACTGATATACTTTTCAGTGTGCCAACTAATATTTGTGTAATTTATATTCGTGAGAAATAGTGTAATGTGATGGTTAAATGTGTAAAGTGGTGTTGTGATTGATGAACAGCTTAAATAAATCTTACTTCTGTCATTTCTTTTTATGATCAATACATTGTCATTCGTAAAGAATATTTTACTCATTCATCATTGTTGCATAAATTTTTGTTTTCCATTTATGTCTTGCGTAGTTTGATCTCGATTCACCCCAGAGTCCAGTGACAACTTATTACGATGAAAGTATTGATGTAGGTACTACAAGTAAGTAAATATAATTGTTTGTTGTTATTTGTATGATTAATATTATTTAAGGTGTGTTCGTTAAGTATTATTACGGTATTGAGGTGAGTTAGATTGATGCTATGTTAGTTATTTACATAATGCATCGTTTGCTCAGAATTGAGATTTTCGAAGTGTTATAAATTCTAGTTTCACGTTTGAATACATTATATTTCAACTGTTTACTTGAGTTGACTAGAAATAATTAGAAAACAAATTGTCATTTATGATGAGCATCATCAACTTAAATTATATTGTAATCGAAAATATAGCTACAATCAAGTCCCTGCAATTAAATTCACTTAGTTATGAATTTTCTAGTCTGTCATGTACGATATAGCAGATGTTAATCATTCACCTACATCTAAATTGTCAATTGTGGTTGCCATTTCTCACTTCATGGAAGGAAGATTCTTCTCGAGGAAACCGAGTTACGAGGTGGTCTTGACAACTTAGTAACAATGATCAAAACTCCACAGAAACAACTGCTTATGTCCGGTCACATACATCATTTTTGTGATTACTTTTAGTTGTATTGTGTTCACATTTATATCGCCTTAACGACGGCGATACGCGTGGCCAGGTGAAGTATACTGTTTTTATACCGAACATTTCCCACCTCTCCTTGTTTTCGTTGTGGGAGTGTCATTGGTAAAGATACTGGTCGTCTAAAGGAAATGCCATAACTCCTTCATACCCTTTTACAGTTAGGAATAAGACTTCATCCCCAGATCATAAGTTTGCTGCTCAACCTGGTCATCATCATATGCAAGCTAGAACACCACAACTAGGCAGCACCCGCAGTTAGATAAACCTAAATTCAGTTCAGTTTTGTAAATTTTTACTTGCGTTAACAAAACAATGAAGTTTCTCTTAAATATTTTTAATTCTCAGTAGTAATTATATTGATTTTCCTTAGCTTGAAATAAACTACAGTGTTCTTGAATCTAATGATAATAAATACCCTGTTTAAACTATCCTTGCTCAGTGTTGTATGGGTCTTTAATATTTACCAATTATAGTTTGGTTAACTATCATTTAAATAAATGAGCATTTGTTTTTTACAAATCATTGAATAATTTTTCCGAATCGACTTTTTGTTAAAATCGCCGTTTTTTTCATTACTTGAGAATCGCTGACTTCCAACTTGGAGTTTCGTGGTCGCTCAATAATGGTCTACAGATAACCAATCTTGGTGGCAACATAACTAATTTTGACTGTAATAGTCTTTTATACAAAAATATTTGTAAAGAATGACCTTGTTTTCAAAGAGGCTACATACTTTGCTCATAAATTTTTCATCACTATAACAATGACCCTTAAATTTACTCCAGCTGGCTGTTTTCCTTATAGACTCAATTATTTGAGCAAGCCATCGAATGAGTTTCTGATCTTTTGATTTAGTTTTCGAGTTCTATGAATTTTTAGATACACCATACAACCCATTACTTTTCATTCAGCTGCTTAAAAATTTTTGTTTTCGTACATTCTGATAAGTATTGTGTCTTATCGACCAGCCTATATGAGTCTTTTTGAAAGTCTGCAAGTATACATAGGTTCTGTTGTGGTTCATTGGTTATTTTGTGTACAGGATAATGTTAGACAAACATTGTAAATCTGTGTTTCTGTACGAATTAGTCCAAATGTGTAAAATCAACATCTGATATATCCTCTCCATTAAGTGTCATCGCATTTTCAATTAAAAGACAAAAGTTTGTATTCTAGTGTAAGTTTGTCAAGATTTTCTATGTTATCGATCATAACTTTAAAAAATATCATTCAGGTACATCTTGAATCGCATATTTTGATACATGTTTTAATACCTTGTAGATATTCCTAGATCATGTGATAAACTAAGTGATGAACATTCCACGTTAGAACCAAATCGCAAAGATACATTGACTACTGCCCCTTCACGAGTAGTTTCCAGTAAGTTATGATTCTTCATTGTGCTTCCTTATACCCTGTCGAATAATACTGTTTTACTGAAATTATGAACCAATCAATGTTTGACTACTAAAGAAAATCTAGATGCACTGGATGGGCGTTTCGTCGCACAATATCGTTCATTGGTTGCAGTTACATATTAACACCGTTGGGTGCCAGCTCAATGGTTTAGATGTTAAGCATTCGCGCGCGACACCTAAGGTCCTGGGTTTGAGTCCCTCGTTCGGGGTTGTAGATGCTCGCTGCTGAGGAGCTCAATACCAGGACGAAACAACCCTCCAGTGCTTCCAGGTCTCTGATGATATTGTAACGTTAATCAGTTCATGACTTCAATGAAACTGAACAATCTCCACAACCCTATGCTAATAATATTCTGTAATTATTATTTTCAGAATATATATATATATATATATATATATATATATATATATATATATATATATATAATTGTAGTTAAGAATTTTGTCAACATTTATACAAAAGATTTTCTTAATAATATCTTGAATTCCAATGTAATTACACACTTCTTACGTTGTGTCTTTTGACTAGCTACTAATGAGACTTCAAAATTACCTTCAACTGCATCAAACGATCAACTCGACGCAGCAGATCTACCTCGCTGTATTCTTGCTGGTGGCTCAGCTCTTGGATGGACTCACGAATCAATTGTTATTTGTTGGCGTCGATTTTTAGGTATTCTAGGCAGTCTTCATAAAATTACTAACCCAACAACAATGAATGATATATTCAACTATTTAAATGAAATGACTTCATGTCTTTTAAAAATTAGAGCATATCAAAGTGTTCCTTCTGTAACCGAGATATGTGTACAACCAATTCCACAATTTGTACCACCTGTGAATTTTATTGCACCAATATTATTTAATGTAAGTGTGTTAGGAAATATTTCCCAGTGTCAACTGTTGAATTGTTTGTGTTTCCATTTGGTATATTTATATTATTGATTTAACATATTCTCTTTTCACAGTTGGTTTAGTCATTAAATACAAAAGACTTATCATGATATTAAGCTATTTACCTAAACTGGATACGTCAAAAAACCTAGCTGTTATATCTTAAAGTTTCCTTCTCAGTTAGTCTGTTATAGACAACGTAGAACTTGGCTAATATGTATATTGGTCTAAGTTCCTACATCATATCAGCACGACTAGATGAAATGATCAAAATTCATTCTAGGGTAGTAGAAGTCGCAATAATGTCATTGGTAGCAAATGAAAACCAGGCATAAACAGTATGAACTAAGAAGAAAGAACAAATCTGTGGGAACAAAAGTCTGAGACGATTTCCCAACCCATCATCTAAGACTAGAAGTGAATGCATTTAGGTCATCGCTAAGCCGTGTAACTTGGTTGAATTATGATATAGTGTTACTTTAAAGGTAATGCAATAGTTTTGGATGTTAAATGTAAGTTGTCGAAAAACATAGGAAGATTTAGACCATTAGGTACTTTTTATTACTCATTGGCAAAAACGTTTTAATATTTTTATTTCAACACATAGATAATGGTACAAAGAGGCACCAAATACATATGCGCAACACAAATCTCACCCGATATGTGTGAGGGCTGTGATACTGCCCGGGTGCCCAAACCGAAGCAGGTGGTTTTCTTAGGGGGCCACACCCCGAGCCTTCAACCCAAAGGTCTGATCCACAAGGCAGTGGAGCATCGTAAGGAGATGCAGTCCCATGGAAGCCGGTGACCAACAATTGGTTCATTCGCCATTTGTTCCCGCAGGATACTGGAGCCCATGTGCACCATTGGTTTGGAATCCGGTTAAAGCGCCGGACATTCGCTTTTCGTCCTCTCATTTTCGTAAACAACACCCCCGCCACGAGAAGGCAGTGAGTAGGACTTCCCTGGCAGAGGCTATATACGCGTGGCCGTGTGAGAGTATTTCGAGAGGGAGAGCGGACTCTCCCCACTCTCGGCCGTACCAGGGCATTTGGGGGCTTACTAATAGTATTCGTTCGTAAAAAATTATCTTTGACTTAATCAATAATAATAATTGTCATTAATAATTAGAGACGAATCTATTTCACTCTCAATTCATATATTATTAGTGTTTTTTCCTGTGATTCGTTATGTATGATTTATCTTCGGATCTTTTTTCCCTAGACAATGAGTCTTTCTGAAGAATTTATAGAACCTAAAAGAATTGCTATACGTACACTATGTGATATAGTTATACGTTCTCATGATGGATGTCCTGACCCAGAATTAATTGCTCATTTTTACCATCTTATTCATCAAATAAGCGTCTCAAAACAAGAGGTAATTCAGTTTGACAGTATTATTATTCATTGTGATATAAACCTGATATTGTTCTGTAAAACGTTTCACCTCCCTTAAACTGTATATGAATTCATGACTAGGCATTTTGTTGACTTCTTCCACTATATTCAGAACGACATATGAATGGTAAACTGTAAAATTAGTCCTCAGCAACACATAGCGGTAGCTTAGTTCGTCTTTGAATTACAGTTATAAAAGTCTAAACCCTCCGTGAGGTGGTAGATCTCATACTTATAATGTGTTTGTTACCATGTACGCGAATGGGTACTTAGAATGTGAGTTAAAAGATTACCGTTTTTCTTACATTTGTCAGAAATTGGAAGGAAATTTATCACTCGTACAATCACTTGGTTCCTGTACATCTCAGTTCTAAGCTCTATAAATAGCTATCTTCCACACTATCATCTGTTAAATGAATCATTTCGCTTGTTCATGTTCTTCACAAATTCGTTTGAGCTTCTTAATATCTGTAGACACTTTTCTTCTAGCAGCGGATCGAACCAATGAAAGTGTACGGGTATTAAATCAGCACGTATATAGATTGTAGCTATACATTACTGGTGACAATGGCGAAATTGTCGTATCTTAGTATGTTTATAAACTATCTCCGTTTGTGAATCTAAAAGCATCTTTAAGTTCTACAAATATTTTATCTTTCCTGTTTTTAGAACTATGTCTTCGAAGTTATCCGGTCATGTAATATGCGTTTGTTTGGGTCTTCACTTCCATCTACACACTTACTCATACTAGATTTCTTAAGCGATGTCAATGTTGTTTTATCAAATCCTAACTGTGGCACGGAAGTGAGTACCTAATTTTATGAATGCACGAATTCTCATCCGTTTTTATCAAATTATAAATGTTGATTTCACCTTTGTGCAATGGTTTTTTTTGTCATAATTAATTGATCTCAATACCGTGTGGTATTAGGCCCTCCAAACTTTAGCAAAATATTAAAACCATCTGGTATCCATAATGAGATGGATGTATATATATTAGGAAAAAGGTTCCGTATGGTTTTTCTCAACTTTAAGTTTGGTGCTGAAGAACTGTGCCGTCCAGATACCCTCATTACTATCTCATCACCTTCGTAATTTCATCAACTATCGCTATTTCTCAGCTCTACTCATGACTCTTAAATAATTCAGCAATCGATCATTAGAGAAAGATAAAGATAGATGAAAAAGGAAAATCAAAACTGATGGGAATCTGGAGTCTGAATTCATTTGTTAAGAAATCGTGCGTACATAAGATTCTGGAATAATTTTAACTTCAGCACATGTCTGTGGTGACCTAGGCCACAATAATATCTCACTTATTAACAGCAGGCTCATATTCTTATTTACTACATTACAATCTTGGAAGAATGTATGCTTATGGCGAATGCCTGTTTATCTGCTTGCTACTCAGTATGAAACAACATTTCTATATATATATATATATATATATATATATATATATATATATATATATATATATATATATATATATATATATATATATATAGCATACTTCTTGAGAAATAGTGAATCACTATAAATTTACAAAACCATGTGATACTCACTGTTTTTTGATGATGATTACGTAAATTGTGTTGTTTTTTTACAATTGTTCTCCAGACCTACTTTCATAGTGTATAGATATTAATATTAAAATAATTATGATTTTACCTTTTTTTTAAAAGTTTATTTTTGTTTATTAATATCAATAATTTTGATTTGTTTCTCTGTTATTTTCTTAACCTAGATTCCACGTTCTGAAGCGATATCCATTATATTATCCCTACTATGTTACCCTTATCATTTTAATCATCTTGAATCGATCGATCCGATGTCAATGAAAGCTAAAACTACTTTGTGTATAGATTTAACAGTATGTGTTTCCGACTTTTTTTCAACTGCTTATACTTATATTATCATATTCAGACAAGAGAAAAACGATTATATATATATATATATATATCTTATGATTTTAACAATTGAATTCACGACCATTGAGAACCTAGAAGCACTGGACAGCCGTTTCGTCCTAGTATGATAGTCTTTAGCAGTACGCACCCTCAATAAAGAATATTTTATGCACATAGTTGTAGTAGCGTTAGTTGCAATAGCACTATTTTAAATTAGTGCAAATGAATTAGGGGTGATAATAATGAGATTGATACATGTGATTCAACTTTTCTTTCCGTTATTGTTCTTTCTATACGTTCTTGTACTAATTATCATTTATTCTCAATTCTTCATTTACTTTTATACGTAAAGCGCTTTTTATAAACACTTACTTATAAATGAGTAATATTAAATGATCTCATTAGATCTGTTTTTTTAATGTCACTAAAACAAATTTCTATATATGATAATCTACGTTATAGGTTGACATAAACCTCCTGCTGACTCGTAACGAAATTTATGAGCTTATAGCTAACCTTAAGCGAGAAGGGGAGAGAGAATGAGAAGCCTGACAGAATAATTTTTGAGATTATTAAAGATTGCAATCCTATTTTATCGGTTAGATTGATTAATTTATTAACTGTGGTCTGAGAGTTGGAAAGGCTAGTTGAGAAAAATAATAAATTAGTTGATATGATTGTAAATCGTCATTGATGTGGTGATCTGGAGTGATAACTTTGACCGACGTACATATATACTAGATTCTACATTGCTTATTACCAACTAGATCTGATATTCGGTTGTGTTTTCGAACGATTTTGTCGATATTTTCGGTCAGATTTTCAATTATCATTATTCTGTTGAAGACTATCATATCATTGAGATACACATGTATATGTTTTACATCTGTTACCACTGATCAAATGATAGATTTTCATAGGTTATGTATTGTTACCACTTTCTGTTCTTCCATAGCTGTACTAATATATGTGTTATGCTTAAATAAATGCTTTTAAATTCTTATCTAATCTCGTTTTTCTGATAGTTTGTTCAGCTAAAAACTGAGCTTTACACTACTACACATAAGCATCGATCATAGATTGTGATGCTTAACTGGTACACAATATTCCTGCATGCATTGTTCAAAATGACTTGTTTTCTAAGATTCATGCGATTCATGGTTTATATAGTTGGTGTGCCTTGCGAATTTCTTATGTAGAATGTTCATTTCTGTTAATTTTTGAACTTGATTTCATAAACTGATTGTTTTGAGTTTTCGTAGTATGCATTGTTCCGAGATACACGATCAAATTACTCTTGTTCGTAACAATTTATGGTTTCATGGACAGGAAGTATTTCTAATAATTTATGAAAGTATAAAATTTTGCTGGAATGTATTGATTGCCGAGGAAAATAACTGTAAACCAGCCAAGGTTTATTCAACATCATTATTTCTCCTTTCATCTTTTGGGCTTAAAATAAGAGTTCACTGTCTGAATTTAGGATGCGTAATCTGCACATACATAATACATTTATTGTGTTTCTGATTTTCATTTATTTATTGCCGTAATCGGAGGATCTGGAAATGTTTGTGCTCATTAGTTTATCGTTTTGATTAACACAATTGCTCCAAGAGTTTTTATGTGTCCGTTACAAAACTACTATATTTCTACCGACTGTATAACTAATCGTATGGATGAATGTTCTCAGCACTGCCCATTTTGTGATGAACCAAACATGTTCTCCACAACTAATGAACCTTCCTATTGATCTTTTACATATTGACTCTTTTTTAAATCCAGTCAAAATTGGTTCGCAGTTTAATACAAGCTGTCTTGTCAGATCCATCTGGAGAGGTTCGATGCCTGGCTATTACTGGTCTATCAATTTATTGTGTCATTGAACTAATGAATACATTTTCAAAGGAATCAGGAACTGTATCATCTGTCAGTTTTACATCAACAGACAATTTGTTTTTCGAATCCATCATAATTTTATTAGGAATGATGCGGTTTCAAAATAGGGCCGTATCTATCGTTGCAGTTGAGATGATCAATACGCTCGCTGAATATTGTCATCTTCTGTTATATCATGATGCGAAATTACCCTCCCTAGTGTTGTTGGTAAGTCTTGCCCAATTTATTATTGTTCAAACAGTTTATGTCACTTTTTTGTTATTGTTTTTTTTAAAATATAAAACTCATTATTCACAAGTATTAATAATATATCTGGATAAATATTTATTGAATACATTGGTGGTAACAACTTGAAATCTGACACAGTAGTTCATTCTCTTAACTTTCCTACGCTTTATATGATTTGAACAAATAAATAACGTTATTTTTTTTGCTTTCAGTTCTTTTGCCTCTTAAGTTTGAAATAGGAAATGAAGAGACTTGGTTTCCATACGAGTAAATGTGTCTGTATATATTGATCGTGATCAATCTCGAAATCGTTCACATACAGTGTACTACACTGATCAGATGATTGAATTTCATAGGTTAATTATTGTTACCACTTTATATTCTTTCATAACTGTACTTATATATATGTTACATCTAAATAAATGCTAATTCATGGAAATCAGAATTCACCTGTCATAGTTTACTTTTCTTTGTATATCTTTTCACTCAAATTGTGATATTGAACATCGTAAAAAATGTCACTTACCCTCAAGTTCATAATTCTCATGAGTTTGAATAAGTGAAAATATATACGAACATCGATTGTGACTAGTTGTTTCCATTTATCGTATTGAATTTGATTGTGGTAAATATTAATAAAATAGTTTATTTGTTTGAATTATATCACTTTTCATCAATTATTCAAATTAATGATTATTAAGTGACATGGTTGTTTTTACTTTTTTGTGTTATAATATGTAGATTGTTTTTAAGCCTTGATAACGTGGTATTTATTTGCTAATATTAGTACTATACATGCTCACCTGTTTCTTTTTTTTTTCTATTTCATATAGTCACTTGCATGGACTTTATATTCTACATGGGACAATACAAATCTTGACAGTATGTCATTAACTGATAAACAGGTAGGTCAAGTATATATATAAATCCACTGAACAATATTTCTTTCTCATATAATGGTTCATAGAGATTATTTAATTCTGTTGTGTACATCACGAAGTGATCTTAGTTAAATTACTTTTAAAAACTAGGAAGAACTGGAAATCAGTTTTGTTCTAGTATGCAACTCTTCAGCAGTACTCATCTTTAATCCCACTGTGGGTCAAACCTATATTTTTTTTTAGGTCTTGAGGTGATCAATCAACTATTAAACCACTAAGCAACCATTTAGTCTTCTAACCATATTCTATTCATGGAATTTTGTAACCATTTGTCGATTCCATTGGTGCATATCTGTCTTACATCCGACATTGTTCAACTTTGCTAGTCACAATCGTTCAGTACTTTATGGTTTTCAATGGTTGTCTAAGATCATTTTGTGACGTGTAACTATGAATTATTTTTCTTTAGTTAACTTGGCTTTATCAATCTTGGTAATTAATAAGGATTTTCTTGTAAATCATTCACTTCCAAACATAAGACTTTATAATGCTAGCCTGTAATGTATACAAGGAGGTGGAAATCGATTAATCAGATTGAAATACCAAATAAAATAATATAGGATATTATAACCGATGGTTCCAAGGTCACAAAAAGTAAGCGTACTTGAGTTAAGCAATGGTTGTTATAAATGCTGACTGCCTAATGACTAGATAAAAAGAATTTAGTGAAAAGATTCTTCATATTCAAATATTTTTACAGTTATATAAATAGCGACCTGGAGTTTACCAAATTTCAGTATTTCCCAACTATACAGTTAATTTAAGAATGTTATAATTCCATTTTGTCGAACAACAGTACTAGCCATCTCCCTTTGCCTTAAATGAATGTCCTTTAGAATTAGACCTATCAGTAATCTATAGCATATTGTTTTTTATTTTCTTCAAATTCGTTCTATTACTACTTTTAATGGAGATTTAAAAGTTTGATCAGTTTTTGTCATGATATTATAAGATTGGTGTGATAAACGTGTCATCTTTTCCTTGGAACGTTTAACTGTTCTTTTAGCCCAATTGTTTTGTTCTGTTGTTTTCTCTCATTAAACATTACTCTCGTTAGATTTTTATACTGATCATATCTCCACTTATTTCTTCCGTGATTTGACTTTTCCACAGTTCTTTCATAGTCTTATTCAATCAATTATCGAATGGTCTATCCGTATACCGTATGATCAATTAATAAAGAATTTTGAAAATAAATCAGAATTAAAATTATTACCGGCATCGAATTTATTAGATACAATAATTGAAGTGTTATGCTTCATTACATCGAATAATACAAATTCACAAAGTTTAATGAATTCAGTACAAAATTCCAATTATCCTCAATCTAAAATCTTATCAAGTATTAACTTTACAGATCCTTTAGGAGAATACATTAATATATTTAAACAATCAATTGATATTAATTTATTCAATGTAAGTTATAATACTTTGGCAGTTTATTCATCATAATATTTTGTTATTTTTTCAAATATATTTTACATATTATACAACCGATCAAACCATTATGTTTACTTATATTTCTATGATGTAAAATATATCCATGTATAAGTTTAACAAGTTGTCATAGGCTTCCAGTACAGTTCGATAACTCTATAGTGTATCATCGAATGAATTTTAAAATACTTCCACGTTATGTGTGTAATGGATTAATTTAAAATAAAAGTTCATATTATAACTGTTGAAGATGAATTCAACCTAGATTTGTTGATGATGAACTTCGTATAATGATTGCGAAAAATAGAGATTTATTACTCAAGTGGATGATTTTAATAGAGTTTGGTTCACTGAGTTGAATAGTTTAATTGGTAAGCTTTCATAGTTTTTCTAAACATTATCAGCATAAACTTAAGGTAGAAGTGAGGTTTTCAAATTACCCTACATATGACTGACAGCTTGTCCCATCGACCTCGATCTTGGTTGGTTATTGTTGATCTTTGACTTGTTTGTGTCTGCAAATTTATTTTGATTACCTCTCGATTTGATCAGGACAACAATAACTAATCAGTGTCAAAGTCGACAAGACAAGCTACCAATCAGATATGAAGATATTTGAATACTTCTTCTACCTGAAGGTTATGTTGATAATGTTGTTCGTAAGAACAATGAAAGCTTCCCAACTCAATGAATGAAACTTCATCAAAACTACAAAAGAATATGAACTATACTATACCGTTGATAGACTTGAAGCTTGTTACATTTTGTACCGAACAGCAAAAATTTGTATCATTTAAATGATTACATTTGAAAGTAAAATGTTGTAACTGGTTGTTTATACATCATGGATATTTTTTCTAAATCTGACATTCGACAGATTTTGTGCCTAAAACATGCTTTATAGTTATTCAATCAGTCGTATGCAACATAGTATCTGACATCCTAACATGTATTAATTTACTGATATTTCCATAGTTCTATTTGCTTTAATGTTCAACTGATTTTATAAATCACATTTTCGATGTACCATTCATTCATCATCAGAATATACTAGTTCTCTTTCATAGTATTAATTATTCCCAAGTTCTACCTTATATCATTAATATCCTCCTGAATTAATTTATAAAATACATCATTCTCAACAATTTTAACTTTATATCCCTATCTCTCTCTCTCTCTCTCTCTATATATATATATATATATATATATAGGGATGCATTCTGTAATTATTTCCACAATACAGTTTATCAATAAAATTATAATTTAGTGATTATTTCCGTTTAATTTTATTTTTGCACAAATTGTAGAGTTTATTATTAATATAGAATAAACGTATATACTCAATTCGCCGGATTAATACCATGGAAATCATTTTATAAGCTATATAAATTAAATTTTAATTGTCATGTGATTTTCACTCTTTCTGTTTTTAGTTAAAATGTTCTCTATGGCATATTTATTGACAAATCAATATACAACAGTTTAATGTGTATCATAATAGTTTAATCTGTACATTGTGAAAAATTTCTGTCTTATTGAAAACATTCTTTTTACTCAATAAAAGTCATCTGATTTGATAATAATAGTAATATCAAATAGATAATTTATTTTCTATTTAAAAGATCAAATAAACCTCGATGCTTTTATAATGCATAGTTGACTTAATCTTTAAAATATTTCAATATCCTTACGTACTTATTTATGCCTGTTACTCCCAATGGAGCATAGGCCGCCGACTAGCATTCTCCAACCCACTCCATCCTGGGCTTTCCTTTCTAGTTCTATCCAATTTTTGTTCATTCTACTCATGTCTGTCTCCATTTCTCGGCGTAATTTGTCCTTTAATTTTCCTCTTCTCCTTTGGCCTTCAGGATTACGAGTGAGGGCTTGCGTTGTGACACAGTTTGGTGCTTTTTTTCAATATGTGTCCTATCCACTTCCAGCGCTTCTTTTTGATTTCTTCCTCCTCTGGGATCTGGTTTGTTCTCTCACATAGTAGGTTACTGCTGATAGTGTCTGACCAACGGATCCGAAGTATTTTGCGTAGATTTCAATATCCTACTTTTCATTTATTTTTCAAATTTTGTACCTCAATTCTTCATTATATTTAACTTTTAAGTGGCATTGATATATGTATATTTATTGATTTTTATAGGCTCCAAAATCTGACCTAGATCTATCCACAATGACAGCAAAGTCTTGGATTGCAGCTAACGCTGAGAATAGTATGATGCTATATCATTATAATGATGATATGAATAGTGCAATGGAATCAGTACGACTAGCAGCACGAATGGCAATGAGTCATTTACTCAATCATATAGACCAGTTTCCAATGGTAGGTTTTTTATCAGTCAGATACTTTGTAATATGTTTTTTGGTGACAGGAGCGATCTCAGTAAATTATGAATTTAAATCTCTGATTGTGAGTGATTATTTGTTTTACTATAGCCTAAGCTTAATCATATGCTTTCCAAACAGATATGAAAAAGTCAATCTGTATTAAAGTCATGTCACTAAAATAAGCAATGAGGACAATTATTTTGTATTTATCCTTAGTATTTAACAAACTGGATCAAATTAGTAAAACAAAGACAAGGTGGAATGTGAGAAAGCTGCATCGATAAGCATATTGATTGTCTGGAAGAAACACCTTACTCTTCTCACCCCCTGTTTATTTGGCTCTGATGATGAGCTTTTAGTCTTAACGTTCTCTAACCAACCTGTCGTGCATGATATAGCCTAAAGGAACAACTGTCCCACCTAATATGTCTCGATTATATCATCACGATATTCAGGTCTGACCATCACGTCAAGTTAATAGCTCTTATCGGGATTGAATTAGTATATTTCCAGATAGAATTTAGGAAGATGTCATATGTATTAAACGAATGCTCTCATTTTTTGTTTAATCCCCATTAAGAAATCTGGGGTAGCGTTCAGCGAACTTTCCGCACAAACACAGAGAGCCCTGTTGGAGTTTGTCAACTTGATACCCTTGTGTTAACTGCGTGTATACTGCTCAACAGTTCGATTTGGTCTACTTTACGGTTATAAAACGTGGTCTATGAAAGTATAAGACATGCATAGGGTGAAGGTTTTTTATCATGTGTGTCTTCAAAACATCACTGGTGTTTCGTGGAATGATTGGATTAACAATCTTGAAATTAGGCCTAGGGTACTTATCAAAGGTGACAAACAGGTTAATTAAGTACTGAATCTTCATATACTAAGGTTGTTTTGATGTATGTAACGTATGTCTAACTATCACCAACCTCAAAAATCATTGCTTACCAGAATTGTTCACATTGCTGCAAATTCATTTACTTTTTATCTTCCCCTCGGTCTTGAATTCCAGTATCGTTTCATACTTACCGTTCTACTTTGTTTTTTTTTCAAACCATATCCCTGCGGTTTGGCCTTGCTGTTAATTATTGACACTTCATTATTTCAATCTCTTTTGTCGCTTTCATCTCGTACTAATCAGGTATGACCCTGTCTTCTGTTCACTGATCACAATATTATGCTTAGTAAATTGAATACACATTTTAAACTTTGAAATAAATCAGTAAGGGGAAATGTCCATATAGTTCTGTTGTCATGGGCGTTGTCCAAAATCTAATACTGATACACGGTGTGTTATTCTCTCCCCTCCCCAACTGACTACTTAGGCGGAAAAGTTTATTGGGCTACATGATACAATGCACAAATACTCATTCTTATATATACCACTCTAATCCTTGGGAACTTGATCCATTTCTTACCGAGTGAAATGCACCTGTCCTTTAGGTCACTTCTGTTTGCCATCGATTGACCTTCTCATTAGTCTACTTCTGATTGACTCCCAATATCATATTGCCCTCCTGAAAAATAGGTTATGCTTCTTGGATTTAACTAAAATGTCGTCTTCTCGATGATTTCCTTAGGATCTGACCATCACTTCTGCTCTGACCATGTTGCTCAAAATTGACTGTATCAATTAAATAATCTAGTTGCAAGTTCAAGCTAGGAGGTTTTTTTATCTGAATTTAATCGTCTATGGTGGGTATGGTTTATATGTCACTCATCGGTTAAATGATGTTCAATTCTCTTCGCCTTGGGTTTATAATATCTTCTTCTTTGTAGATACATTTTATCAAATGAAGTCCGAATCTTCCTTCCGAACATTGACTCAGCGGCGGAGACATCCTTAGGTGAAGATTTCGTCAGTCGTGCCCTCGCCTCGTGATTATCTTTAAAATCACTAAAAAAATGCTGCCTCCTTTGTGTTATGACTTTTGGCCTGTGTATCCTGTTAATGTATAACGTAATGATACCGCCAATTAGAGAGCAGTGAATTATCGATCGGACCAACGACGCATAAAACCCTTGCAAAAAGTCTAGAGTTTTTATCGACCTTGCTTCCTGCCTAGTCCAGCCACTTAAATCCAGAACACCAATTTCAGTCTCTGCGACATGAATCGTTTATTTCAAAACGTACTGGGTTTATATACCAACCAGACAGACCATATCGTACCATAAAATAGGAAACAACATTTGTACAAGATTTAGCCAAAAGTGGCTGTGAGTGTGGGAGGTAGTAATTAATAGACAGGGCATAATTTAAGAATGGTAAATCGTATAATAATAGTTCATAGGTTAAAATAGAGCTCATAATAAGAGGGACATAAATATGAACAGTTTAGTTATTTAACAATTATACGATAAAAATATACGCATAGTACTGATCCATAAATGGACCCCAAAAGTTACCATTCATTATGCTTATCGGGGCATAACGCTGTGATCGTATGAGGATATGGACATACTTGATTGAAAATCAAATTGGATGACTGATCGAGCATTTTTCTAATCTGGATTACAAATTAGATTAAATAGATAATCAAACATTTTTATTTTTGTGATCCACTCAAGACCTAATAGGTTCAAGGATTCATCAGTAACATAGCATTTGGATTTGATTATTAGATAAATACATTCGACTGTACATTTGATAATTCCAGAATTTTTGATTGAAATGCCTGATGCATTCTTTATGCAATCGGTAGTAGGACCAATGCTTGGCCGACCAAGTCTGTGCTAAGTTTTGCGAGAAATCAAAGTAACATCGAATGCAGTCTCCAACTGCAAAGTGATAATACGATCATTAACATTAATGGTTAAATACTTGCATAAGCTTTGGGGGTCATGCCCCTCAGTCCCAATAACTATTGGGAATGCAACTTAGAACTCTCGCATTGCTCATTAACAAATGGTGCATACGAAACAAAATCATCTTCAGGTTTCTTAACAGTTCTAGGACAAGATTATAAACCCAGGGTGAAGATCATTTAACATCAATGAACTAATGAGCTACCAGTATACTTGAGAAACTTTCGACATTTAAGACCTACATGGGTAACGGATGTCGTTTTAATAATCGGTGACGCGATGTCCTGTGTTAGTATAACAACAAACTTTGATCTTCAAAATTAATATGAATGCACGTGTTGTACGAATTAGATTAGTCACTGGGTCACTCTCATTCTCATGTAAAGTTCATTGGAATTTATTGAGACTTGTTTGAATTTACATATTTCAAACATTTTATTGTTTACAGAATCAGTTATTAACATTCCCTAACATTTGTCATTATGTAAATGTTTGAAAAAATTTACATACATATGTACTTTTTTTAGTCGAAACAATGTGTACAACTGAATACATCCATACAAGAACGTCATGATCAGTTATCCCATAGTATATCATCTGCTCAAAAACAATTTACTACTAACAATCATAATAATATGGATGATTTATCCGAATTAACAGCGGAGATTTTTGAACGAAATAATTTACAAATATTTGTGTTAGATCGTTCAATTATATTGACATTCCTATCATTACCCATTGTGAAACTTCCTGACCAATTGAGAAATATCAATGATAACGTATTACCTACTACAATTAGTAGTGATAAGGACAATACTGAACTACAAGTACTCGAGTTCAACAATTCCACCTATTCTTATCTACCATTATCATATTTAAATTCTAACGATGTCGAAGTGGATTCATCAAAGTCTAGTTTGGTAACAGGTATGCATTTTGTGTTTATCCGACTGTTTGTTATTAATTGTATGAGTTTTGATGTATTCGTTGACTTATTTGGTACTAGTTAATCGTTTACACTATCTCATCACAAAGTTGTTACCAGTATATTCGTTATTATTATCATCATTATTTGTATCCGTAGTGCTGGTCAAATCCTTTCTATTGATTAAGGATTGTTGTAACTAGTCTAAGTGACATAATATTATGGCCTGAGTAACTCATAGTCAGTGTCTTTGACTGTAAAACTATCATTCAAGTTTGAATCCTATGTGAATGATTATCCCTTGCTGATCAGTGACAGAAACCATTGAATCTAAATCTAAGGTTTCCAACCAATTACTTTCAATCACTTAAACACCTAATTTGTTTCCGGTTGATATTATGAAATGCATCCAGTTCATTGTTATTATACCCTTTCGACTAGTTACATACATAAAATTCATTGCTAAGTACTGTGTTTTATTTCACTTAGTGTTTATTTCATTTGTAATAGCTAGTTTAAACTGCGGTAATATTTCCGTAGTTCACATCACAGACTGATCTTAGTTCAATAGCTATTGATAACGTGGAGAGGTTTGATAGTTGTTTCACCCTAGTATGTGACTGCTCAACAGTCCACATCCACGACCCCACAAGAGGGAATCGAAACCAGGACGTTCATTATTGTTTTATGTCTTTATATGTATGCCAACATGTACATAGTTCTCAAATATTTTACTATATCATATTCTTATATTATTTTTCATTCAGATAAATTCTATACAAGAATTATTACACGTGATCTATCTGGTAAATATAGTTGGGATGTTTCTTATTTATATGCTAGTCTACTTGATATGAAAGAAAAACAGGAAACTGAACAATTGAATGAACTTACAAATACTAATTTACGATTGGTTGATTCTGATAATTCGAATTCACACTTGATCACACGCGATCCACCACCATGTCCTCCTCCAAGAGTAAATCCGCCCCCACTGACAACTAACAGGTTAACACCAAATACAATTGATCAACTCGATCGACTAAGTGACGTAAGTTTGTAATACTTATCAAAACTGTTTCTTGTTAGTATGAGGTCGTGGAGATTGTTGGATTTGATTGAATCTGGATGTGTGGCATTTACCCACCACAGACAATGGAAGATGGTCTCGCGATATCATGCATTGATTGAAGTTAATCATTAACACTGTTAGACGCTGTCTCATTGATCTCGAGGCTAAGCGATCGCGCTCGAAACCAGTCTTTTCTCCGGAATCGTGGATGCAGTGCTGAGGAGTCCTATACCAGGATAAAACGCCCGTTCACTGCTTTCACGTTCTCGATGTTGGTCTAACTGGGATCGGTTCATAATTTCATTGTAAATTGTTTCTTCTGTTTACCGCTGTTTTTCCATTTCACTAGAAAAAGTTTTTACGGAGCGTTTTGTCATTTACATTAGTACCACTTTCCAATTTAATCTTGTTTTTCTTCAAGTACTACTACTAATGTATCACTTTATTATGTAAGATATTTGAATCGTGAAGATTGAAATCACAATTCAAAACCATTGAAAACCTGTAAATACTAGACGTGCAAGTACAGGATTCCTCATCAGTGCTCATCTACGACCTGGAAACAAACTCAATATCGTAGATTTATTGATGTCAAGCTTGTTCATTAATAGACCTCAGTTCAATGTTCTAGAGGTCAAACGTTCGCACTCGAGACTGAGAATCCTGGGCTCGATTCGTGGTTGCGAAGTTACAAATGTTCACTGTTGAATTATCTCATACTTAAATAGAACAGATGTCCAGTCCTTCCCAGTTTTAAATGTTGTCCAACTTAGATCGGTTCGGGATATCAATGTAATCCAACAATCTCCACAACCCTACACTGTCATAAATAATATATTCAAACCTTGGTCAGTACCATTTAGTAATTTCTGTTTTTATCTAACCATCATACAAAACAAAATGATTCTCTAGTCAGGGTATTAGTACATGATTAGATTCGGCTGTTATTTCTTTTTTCAAAGTTTTAAGTGTTGTTCAAGTTACATAAGTAATCATGTAATTTTTAAAAAAAGATAACTAGAAACGCAGTGTCATGGTAAATATATAGTGTGTTGTGTTCTCGTTATCATTATCCTTTTGTTTGCTATTTTTACTAGGTTCTAAGAGATTTGGCAATAACTAGTCCAGAATGTTCAATTAACTGGTGCACATCAAAGCTATGTGAATATGAAAATTTGAAAAATATTTCCGACAAAGAAAAAACAGCTTGTTTGAATATGGAGAAAGTGACATGTGATCAGATAACTGCTCAATATCAAATAGATGAAAATGTGACTCATCGAAAGTTACCAGATATAGATGTGTACGTATGGAAATTATGTATCTGATGCTTTTTTTTTTCTTAATCAATTATACAAATTTCACCGAACTAGTATCAAATTAATGTGATTATCAAGTTTTCCATTTCACATCCAGTTTAGGACTTAATCAAGCATATCAGCTAAATAATTTATGTTGTGAATTTTTTCACATATATTCAATCATCTTGATGCGATACAATTAGTGACATCATCGAAAGATAGTTGCGTAATATTGTAAATCGATTGAAGTTAGACACGTGAATCATTGGACGACTGCTCGGGTTTCTCAAAGCTAAGCCGCTATCACGAGGACTTAATGTCATGGTTTCGATCCTCAAGAGATACCGCAGTAGTGAAAAGTTCATACTTTTAATGATAACATTTTCATCTTCTGACTTTTCAGGAGTTGTTCTTTTACCAAGACGTTCACTTGTTGACTTTAAATTTGCAGTTAAAAGTTTTGCTTGATGAAAATGCTGACGAAATTCAGTCTTTGACCACTTTAAATAATAATGAAACCATTTTTGGGATGCAGTTCTCTTTCTTTTAAGTTCAAAATCTTGCTTCACGACTGGCTTGCGTCAGCTCATGAATAAATGACATGAAGTGAAATAGTTGGACTCATCGATTGCGTTACTTATCTTGGCAGTCTTATCAGTCCTGGCGATCTGGTGTCCAATGAACTTACGGCACGGATTTAAAAGGCTTGATTAACTTTTGCCAACTCTACTCACTTGTGACGTAGGCGACATATCTGTCTATCAAATAAAGGACCAAATTACTGTACAGCAGTTTGCTCCGTTCTACTTTATGGGTGTCAAACATGACCATTAAGAGTACAGTATATTCATAGTTCACTGATTTTTGATCATATATATCTTTGAAGTATAAGTCGTGTATTTTGGGACCACTGAGTAAGCAATGACTGTGTTAGGAGTAAGTACCTAGAAACACTGGAAAAAATTTTCGATTCATTCAGTTTGTCATACTTCATGTTAATATACAGACAATAAATTGACCAAATAATAATAAACATTTCGAAATACTAGTACTCACAATAAAAATTAGTCACTACAAAAATGTGGTTCACAAGGAACGAAAAAAATCAACATATATCCTACTTAAATACCATCGAAAGATCAAAACTTATTTATAAAATGAAGATGTTCACACACCAAACTACTCTAATTGATGTATGTAATTGCTTCACCTACAATTAATCCATTATTAACCGATTCTCAAAATAGGCAATAATTACAGACATCAAATAAAATATATCTCTTAATCACCTAAATCAATAAACGTTTATAGCTAATTCACTATATCATCTGTCTAAAATTTTACACGTGATCCTAACAATAATTCTAATACACATGCATCATCTACCTTATTTTGTTGTTGTTTATTTACATTTCATAAAATTATGCAAAATATACTTGTTATTTGATGACTATGCATATATTATACCATCATAAGTTATTTCAATTGGTAAGAAACAATTTCAAAATTATTTCGATATCCATGTGAAAAATTCATCTATTACCAGATCATTTAATCAAGTAGATGAATCACTTATTATTATTATCTCTGTTTACATGGGGGGTTTTTTTCCCAATAAAAATCTATGTAGACGATCCCATCTTCATTGGGAACTAACTTTTCAAGTTTATGATAAACATTTGCTATTTTATTTACAATGTTAATTTCTTCATGTTTGATTTTTATTCTTTTCTTTACATTGATTCTATTAGATTATCATTATATAACTCTCATATATCTTTACCAAAAACTGGTTATAGAAATTCTCTGAAGTATACAATACGTTCATTAATCAATGATAAGAAAATAAATGTTCATGAATTAGAATCAATGAAACAAAATACTTTACAATTTTATAATTCACGTCATTTATTAAATCAACTAGGTTATTTATCTTGGAAGCATAGACCTACTGTTGAATTATTACAAATATCTCCAGCTCTTATACGTGAATTAAAACATTTGGATAATCTTGGATCGTTAGTTCATTTTAAATTTTTAAAATTTTTTTTTAAAAATTTCATTGATAAATTTCTTTTTACTCTGATGATGATAAAGGTTGTAACCGATTATCAGTTCCCCCTTAAGATGACAGGTACGGCTTGCTAACTGGTTCTAACTGTGATATGAAACTTAGGTTCAAGGCTTTGTGTCTCCAACCAAACTAACATCTCAAAATAGTAATGCCAATGTTAGAAATTACTTAGATTAATTGTTATAGTGTAAATTTGATCGATCGATTTCGATCAGCGTCAAATCATTAGACAAGCATGAAATTGGTCACTATTCAGTTTTTGTAGAATCTCAGTTTTAAATACAATAGATCATTGTGTATTTCCCGGTGTTTCATAAGCACAGAATCTATAGTTTGCTGTCATCAGATCATATGATAGTTGTCATCAACTGATAATGGTATGATGTATGATTTTCACTGTAAATCATGAAATTGAGAATATTCTATCACTGATAGATAAGCTGTGATAATTGAAACTAGTCAAATTAATATGCTAATCAGGAATTCCTAGAACTGACAGATGGAGCTCGTTGAACGCAATTGGAATTAATTGTATTTGAAATTCGAATTAAACGCAGAATAATGTACAAATAAATAATCACTTAGCACAAGAAATATTAACAACACCGTTTTCAAATATATGAGGGCTTGTACTTCCCCTTTGTCGATGTACTAAGGGCTATAATTGATCATTCTTTGATTCACTTATAGATATCCTGAGTGTATTGCTTCAATGATATCATTTATTCACAAGTTTTGATTATCGTTGGTTAGTGGTGGCTAGCATTCAAATCTAGATACTCAGTATCTCAGGAGTATATTTCGGTCTGAACACTAAAACTTGGATGCAGATCACTCTTGTCAATAAGCCACCTAAATAAAATACGCGTCCTGAATTCTTTTTGAATTCTTCATAGTAATTTTTAATTTGAATAGATGTTCATTTTAAACACTCTTTTTTCTGTTTAAATATCCATGCTAATAGGTAATGAATTCACGTAAAGCTGTATGTAACCATATATGTGTCTATAATTGTATTGCTAATGTTCTTATATATTATTTCAGGCGCGAAACTCATAAACTTGCTATATTCTATGTTGGAGCAGGACAAGAGGATAAACAGTCTATTTTATCAAATCAAACAGCTAGCTTAGAATTTGAAAATTTTGTAGCTGGTCTTGGCTGGGAGGTTGATTTACTTAAACATAAAGGATTTCGTGGTGGGTTAGAATGTAGTGGACGTGCTGGTTTATCCACACCATATTATGCAACATCTACTTTAGAAGTTATTTTTCATGTTTCAACAAGAATGCCTTCATCTACTCAAGAAGATTTAAAGGTTAGTTTGTTTTTTATTTTCTTTTGCTCATATTTTTACTCTGTCGATCTGTTTAGTTTATTTGCTGGTCAATCCACTCAAACTTGTCTATCATTTGCTTCATGACTTTTAGAAAACATTAGCTTGGTAGATATAGTCAATAAATTATCAGCTTAATGAAAAGCGAAATACTGGCTTCTTGTAGAATTGGTGCAGTTTACTGAAGAGTAATAGACTTAAACATATACATGAAATTGACACACCACTAACGACCAAATGCTTCATTACCAACTATTTTTATGACTATTTCCAACTCCAATCTGCACTAAGCTTCCAAACTTTCTGCGTTTATTGCATACGAGCAAAATAAATATATAAATCATAGAAAATAATACCATAAGTACTGTGGTGGGTGCTACTCAAAAGATTGCTTATAAGTTGTATATAGCAGAGCGCCGCATGGGAGTTTCTGCAGTCGACAACCGAATACAGGATAATCAGGAAGCCAAAAGCACGATGAGTTCACAATACTTATGAGATCAGATGAGAAACTATAGGAGACAGTCTACAACCAGTTGGGTTGCGGAACACATAACAGATTCAAATGGAAATGTATACATTTCATAAACAATCCATGTTTGCTCTAAATAAATACATATATTCCATCTGGATTTGATTTGTTCGTACGTTTTAGTGCTTTCCAAGACAATTTAAAAATAGTACCATATATTCGACGATACTTGAAAATACAAACTCCCGATATATTATACTTTATATTTGTGTACATGGTACTGATTTTCAGTCTTCGCATAAACATCGACTTTCAGCTGCAGGTCTGCCTTCCTGATGAGTCCCTCGTAGCGCTAAACGGTCGTCTTGAATTATAGGGCTAGCCCAAACTCATCTGTTCTGTATCTAAGGTTGCTTTAAATGAGCTATTTGACTCTTTTAACTAATTTACTGCACATATAGTTACATCAGCAATTAAACTTCACCGTCTATAATCCCTGCTAAGATTAGTTATATACACTTCATCTAACGATATTTAGTAATAATTGTGTAGTGTACATTTTTACTTATTTAATGCGATAACAATTTTATTTTTGAATACATAATGACTTATTATTGTATTGTTTGATCCGATGGTGGATTTGATATATGTACCTTTTTACCATTGTATCACTGTTCATGGTCGATTTGGAACATTAACTTATCATATCCCTTTCTTGGTGAAGCGCATAAACACTTCAGGTTTTTAACTTTTTTTGTTGATTATCATCCATCTACGAATACATCTCTTGGAGGTAAAATACAAATTATTGTATGTGATTTTACACTTCAGTACAGTCATCGTAATTAATTTGGTGATACAACTAAGTTTTTGTTACATCATACGATTAAAATTGTCAACTAGTTTTCCGAAATACACTAAATATTTTAAATAGCAGAAAGTTTTTTTTGTAAAATTTCTAGTTCCTGGTACATCATTTCACATAGTCTAGACTAAATAAAAAAATTTATACATCACTTTCATTGTGGAATGACTTCTTCACAGTTCTTTTTTCTTCCAAACTAATTCTTTTTTTCTAATGCTACCAGTATAAACATTTGGGAAACGATGAAATTATGATTATATGGAATGAGAATTCACGAGCTTTTAGACGAAGTATACTACGTACACAATTCGGCGATGTATTAATCATTATTTCACCTTTACTTAATGGATTGTTCAAAGTTGAAGTACGACGTGAAGCCCAGGTTTGTCACATCGACTAGATTATTTTGCATTTCCTGTTGATTATTTTCTGTTTTTCATTTCTTCCGCTATTTGATTGGTTTTCTCAGTCTCCCACATTGGCCATACATTCTATCTACCTCTATTAATTTTTACTTTGGTTGTCAGAAGAGGAGTTGTCGACCTCATAACGTCTTTAGAATCTCGGGTTTCACTATGAGGCGTCACAACTCTTCTGTAAGAAAACCCTTCGACTCTAAACTCAAAGCTTTAATCGTTTCTGTTTGGGAGTGTTTTTTACGTGGTGCAGTTGCTGACCCCCACTCCCAAACCTTCTCTTTCATTCGAGCTTGTGATTAGTAGAAACTCTAGGAGGACTACATGCGGAGTTCTTGTGTAAATTACTGCGATAAATTGATTATGATAAATAGTCGTTCAATATCTTACACATTTTATTGCCTACTATCCTATCCTGAAGGGCGAATGTCAGTATTCCATAAATCAACTACATTTCACGGGAGATTTACAACATTCTCAATGCTGACGTTCTGCTACAGTTCGGATTCAACTGTTATATAATTATTTATCTTGCAACACAACACACCTTTTTTTTAAAATTTTATGTAATATGTAATTTTGTCATCTTAATGATGACTGAACTCTTGATGAACATAATTCATTTAAACTTGATTATTATAGGAAGTTCGTACTTAAAATTCGTGTCAATATCTTATTTCAATATTGCAAATAAATATATTCCTTTCATTTAATACCAATGTTACCCGTACAGCCTTATCTTTTATTGAATAAACTATGAGATAAGCTTATACATGTGCATTTCATAACGTTTGCTTTATCAAAAGTTTATTTATGTAAAAGGAAGTAGGTATGGATCAAACTTATAGTCTACATCGTTTTTTCTTATTTGGTTCATTGGTAAAATTGACTTCTATATAATTTCCAAATGACTTTAATTTATTGTCTCTAATGCCCTCTCTTCATGTTTGTATTTCTTTTCTTTGTTATGATATATATATATATATATATATATATATATATATATATATATATATCATTGAATATATTATGTTTATTAAATACCCTTCTATGTGTTACTTTCCGAATTAATAAAGGTTGGTTTATTTGGACCAATTGTGGAAAATGCTATTTTAACTGCAAATGTTCTACCAGGTCTGGTCCGTGCTACAGCTATTAATGCTAGTCGTGCTGTTCAAGCTACTAAACCGGGATATCGTCATCCGTATCCTTTCTTGATGATTTCGTAATTAATTATATCATTTTAAAGTCCCTTCTATCATTACGTTAAGAGTATTGTCTCCAAGTATACATTATGTTGTTTTCTTTATCCTTTGTTAGTCACTTATCAAAAACTTAATAGTTTTGATCTTGAACACTTTATTGCTGGGATCCAGTTGGTTAATGTTCTATTATCTCAACCGTTTAAATGACTCCTTTTTTTTCTCATTGCATCTGATACCACCAAATGATCCAGTCTGGAATAGTCTATAAACTTATTTATTAGAGATTTCTCGAAACCGTTTGTTTAAGATATAACTATTTAGACCAAAAATTGTTGTTATAAATTATCACTATCAAAGGTGCACATCTAACTTATATCTGAATCCACCATTCATCATCCAATTTCAAATAATTTTCGATATGGTGCGGCAGTCATTTAATGTCGTAAATATGTACTACTAAGAAGTCCTATACTAGCCCACCTTAGTTTTCAATAATAAATACTACTTACAATCGTAGCATATATATTGATCAGGAGTGTTTATAGATACAATGCTTCTATCTTAACTCAGTAATTTTTTCAATTTATGTCTTTAAAAAAACGAAGATATGAGGATCGTGCTTCAAGTCTACGGCAAATAATATCTAAGTATACATTGTCAACATGCTTTGAAGAATACGCTGAATCGATACTTTTGCCAAATTCAAAAAATGGTAACTTTTTTTGTACTTTTATAATAAACACAGTAATTATCTTTTATTTCATTGCTTACGTGTCCTATATTTCCATGGTAATCCATATTTCTGGATATGTATTGTTGAATTGTGTTTACTTCTATTGTTTCCTAAACATGTACGTTTTTATGTGTATGAGCCTATCTCTTTCTGTATTATTAGATGTCTATATAAACATTTCTTCATATATAAGCTAACAATATTGTTCTTAACGAGATCTTCATCAGGCTTTATTCTAGTATACAATGGTATTTTTACATGGATATATGAAAATATTAAACTAGTCTAAGCAGTTTATTTAGTTAGTAATAATAATGATATAGATTGCATTACTGTATAATATAGTGCAAACTGATGAGAATCTTATTATAAGTGACATTGCTTGCTTGTATATGTTCTAATTTACAATATAGGAATTCCTAACATTATATATTAGTTCAGCTGTAAAATCTGTTAAATGGACAATGTTTTAATTTTATCTGCTATAGCTACGTTGTCATAATCATTTGTTAAACTATACAATAAATCTCACCAAAAAATCTTTATTATGGCTAATCAACATAATAGATTTCTCATCTTATAGAAAATGAATATTTCATTTTTATTTGAGACCTTCTGAAGCTGTCAATATTCTGCCAGTTAATTTTATTTTTAAAGCTTCTTTAGGTTTACATATGTTTTATCTGAATTTCTTAATGGTTTTATTTTTAGCGCTAACAATTTACCACCGATTCATAATACTCTTTAACATAAATCGATATCATCTAGGAAACTTTGTAAAATTAGTTTTGAATTTTTCACATCCACAACTTCGTATAGCACTGAACCCAGTATTCCACCATATATATATATATATATATATATATATATATATATATATATGGATTATGAATGGCAGTACAGTATATGATGCATGTTTCATCCTGTCAGAAACTAATTCATTTGATAAATTTGTATCTCAATGCTAATGCATTAAAACTTATAATGAAAGTCCCTATCGAAGCAGGTAGCTTAAATTAAACATATGCCAACAAAAATCAATTAAAATTTTATGTTGACAGCCCTTATGAATAGATAATTTTTTCTTTTTACGTTTGAAATGATTATGGATTATTGTATAAAACTGCTCGTAAATTTGTTTGCATTGAGATTCAATAGGTCTTATTCCAAGTGTAAACAATAACATGAAGTTATATTTAATCTATTATACCAGAACTTATTTCCAAACAATAAAATCGGTATATGATGAATTTATGATAGGTGATTTTCACTGGGTTTATAAAACGTTCTATTAAAATAGAATGTGGCTAGTGGTGGAATCTAGGACGCGCATTTCGTCCTATTAGGGAGTCGTCAGTTGGATGTATTAACATTAAAATACTAAACGTGATTGTTTGTAGCATGAAGCTTTTTATTAGTATATTTTATAACACGGTCATAGTGAGGCTTCTCGTCGTCACTTATTCACGTTTACTCAAAGGGTCGTATCAAGAAAGCTTTATTCATCGTTCTTAACTGTGTCAACTTGCTGAAATTAAATCATAAGTCACTTGAATAAATGTGTACAAGTAAACCTGATTCCGAATTAAACCATATAATGTATGTAAGGATCTCCATAAAAAATAATATGGATTCAACTTGTACTTAACTATTGGTTACCATGGAAGTAGAAAATTGTATTTTTTTAGTCAAATTGATAGAATGAAATATATCAAACGATTTGTGTGGCGCATATATATTTGGTGCCTCCTTGTATCAATGTTTATGCGTTTAAATACATAAAATTCTACAATGACAATCAGTATTTCTTGTTAATTTCATCTAACCATAATATTTACATTAATTCCTTTTGTTTAATTCATACATTTGCTTTTACTGGTATAAATTTTAATGCAACAATATCCTCTTTTCATCTGTTTACCCCATTAGTTGAAACTATTTAGCTTCATCCTATGTAAGAATTAAATTGTTTGTGTATGCAACTCGTACAGGCTGGGGGGTTTTTTTGTTGCTTTATTTTAATGTATGTTTAGACTTTTCATAAATTCCTGAATAGATCGCTTCATTTATTTAAATAAATATCTGTTGATTGTTTGCCAACAGCGTGCATGTATTAATGATCATCATTTATTCCCTTCCATCAATTTTTTGTCTGTTCAAGCGTAAAACTATTGAATTTCTCTGCATATTTCAATTGCTTCTTATTGATCTGTAGGCTCAATTATGTCATTGGAACAAGTAATTACTCGCCTGCATGAGGAAATAAAACGTTAAACTCCTACTACCATAATTCTATTCTAAGTAAATTTAGTGAGTGTGCACAATTTCGTATTCGTCAATGGTCTACTTATTCATCATTATGTAATGTAGCTGTAATCGTGGTCTCTGTTAGCTTAGTGTTATTCTGTTTATTTTTCCAACTACTTTTCACATTTACTTGCATCTTGTTTTGTTTATTTATCATGGGTTTGGTTAGTTTACACTTGTGTTTAGAAGCAATTTAGTCTTTTTTCTTACTGTTATGTTATAATTGCTACTATATTTGTGATTATCTTTGCTTTCATTTTGCTGTAAATTTGTGTTGTTTCTTGGTTTGTGTTTTTTTGCATGTACTCTGTCGTTGTCGCCATCATCATCTTTGTTATTGTTATTGTTGTTTGTATTGTTTGCTTAGCTGTGTAATTTTGATGGTTTGAAATTGTTTAACGTTTTTCCAACTTATCAGTTAAGTTAATCACTTTGTTTTCACTCCTTTTCAGTGCACCGCAATCAATCAAATTTATCGTTGAATCGAGGTGTAGTCAATAAATCAGGCGGCGTAAAATTTTCTGCTGTTCCTCCCACTACACAAGAAACTTATCATAGTTATTCGCAAAACTCAGCTTCTGATCTTGCTCCTAATGATATAACTAATAATAATAATGCTCTAAAACACACTGATGATGTTGCACAAACACCTAGTGTCCGACAGAGACAACAAACCGTTTCTTCATGTCGTGCAACAAGTGCACATTCAAGAACATCATCAGTGACTCGTGCTAAAAGCATGTTTTCGCGGCATCATGTTGATAATTTAAACACTAAACCTATTTCTGTCATTTCTCAACCTTCATTGAAAACTAATTCTGCAACACTTCATCACCATAACGAAACTCCCGATATGTATAAAGCAAATGTGTTTAATTCAGTACCTAGTCCACGATTGTTTCGAGGATTAAGATCTCGTCAACATAGTGGCTCCAATAAAATAAATTAAACAAAACATGTCCTTTATCATACAGCCTGTTTGTGACTTGTTTATCATATCAGCAAATTTTTATCGTTTTTTTTTATTTTTTATACTTTCTGATCACTTGTGTGTAACAACTATTAAAAGAACCTTTTCTTCTATTTCATCACGTGAAAGATTTAACATTTGATGCTCTTTATCACAGTTTTATGGTTTTCTTATTCTAAGTACGATAGTTATCGACACTTACAATATTTGTAATGGTGTATATAATGTTGTTCTCTTTGAACTTTGTTTGACTTCGTGATTATTATCATTCACAATAATAGCTTCTACTACTGGGTTCTTTTTTATGAATCGGGAATGATCACAATATTAAACTTTTTTGAAGTAATGCATTTGGAGGTAAATAAAGTAAGGGCTGGTCTTTCTCGTACAGTCATGTTAGATATTTTGTGGAGGAGACGCAGGGAAGCTTAGACAACAAGAGCTGTCTTCACAGACCTTCGCTAAATGTCTCTTGACCAATGACCTCTCGCATATGTAGCAACGCTTCTATTGCTCAGCCATTTTACACCTCGATGTTGTGGAAAATGTGGTCCAACCTTTGCTGATCGGTTAGGCCTCTACGTTTAAGAACATCCTTCATAAGATTCCGAAACATCACGAGTAAGCATACCAGGTGTGATGTGCCCGTTAAAATTATGAGGTAGTGCTTTCACTACTGCGTGTAATTGTGCATGTGTGTCTGTCACGTCGTGCTCGTAGAAGTCAGCTTCTGCGTAGCAAAACCGGGTTTCTATATTATCGAGCCAGAATGGCATGAATTGTAAAGCGAAAGGTGCCTGTTCCGTCATAGTGAAGATAAGATATACGAATGGGCGGAAATATAAGAACAATATCACTGATTGCAAAAACAAAGATTAAGAAATGATATATGATGTTGTAATAAGGAACATACTTTTCTTATTGTTTGGTGTACCAGATCACATCAGGCTGATTAAATATGCCACAAGTGTTCGTAGTTTGAAGCCACATTTACACGTATCACCTTTATAATTGAAGTGTACTGTCTAGTCAAAAATGAAGGGGTTCAAGGATACTTTTGGTAAGCTATCAATGTTTTGAGAAGCGTTCGGTTTAAGCTGACTAGCGGTTGCAAGGGATGCATAGCACGGTGTACCCACTTGTGATCTGGTGCGGATACGTGACAGAGCGCCTCGAACTTGGGTGTGAATATTAAGACTAATGAGATCAGTGTCGAAGACGTACGGAACTACTTATTTCGGTGACTCATTTACCGATACAACTCCTTTTAGTACGTGCCTAAGTGACATTTGTTCAGACAGACTACGAAATCTAACGTTTATGTACTTGAAAAGTGTTAATTTGAGTAGATTGTTGTTTCATTGAATTAGTGTAGATGGAAAATCTTTTGTGATAATACAGGTGGGTTTCATATGTTTTGCTTTTCATTAAAAAAAAAAGATAGTCATAATCCTGAAGTTACTCGTAAACAGATTTGAACTTGACGCCTACAGTTATTCTTGCATCTATAGGAAAGTTGATGATCAGCTGACTACTTTGGACTGTGTTTTTGAAGTGTATTGGTAGTTCTTAGATGTCTATGGTTGCTTATTTGCTGTCACACGACCATGCAAACCTAGCGCTTCAATTCTAGTTACACGACATTGTCGAGGTCTCAGGTTTGTTTTTGGTGAATCTTCTGACTAAACGCTTGAATCGGTTTCCTTTTAACAACATCACGCTAAATCTACACGACAACTTTAACACGTGAGAAAATAGAAGAGTCACTTTGCTTCGAGGTTAGTTTATGTACAGAAAATCGGGGTATTTGTAGCATTTAAAACGGTTTTCAGCTTCTAGGTTATAGAACCCTACCAAATATAGTAGCGTGATAGGTATTCACTCATTCAGAAATGTGGGACCTAACTCTTCACATTCTGTATGTTTCTGAGGGACTTCCATTCAGTGCCTACTGAATAAAGTGCTTCCCAGCGTTTTCACTGACTCACTATAGTGTTTTCGAGGAATGTTCTGAAACCCTCAACATTTTTCATATGGAATCAATGAACTATTATGGTGAGACTATAATTTATGGACGATTTTGAGCGACGCTGGGTGACCTTGAGGGTGAACAACTACTGATTAGAATTAAATGAGGGTTATAAAGCAGTTAGGATTCTCATATACAGTTGTTGGTTAGGGTTAAAAACTAGATTTAGGGTTTTCATCATGAATTAACATCAGCTATAATGCCGAAACTTTATTTAGCCAAATGTAAGGATGAATTCCGCGCCCGAATTCGTGACTTGTTATCTTATATCTGATTAGTTCGTCCACAAATTATTGTCACGCAGCTATTATTTTTGCTTGAGTTAATAAACTTCTCTGCATTGCTACAACACTCAGCTTTTATGAGTTGTTCGACGTTTCTCCAGTATTCCGGGCCCATAGTTCTTTCGGGTTGCAAACTTGTGACATTTACCGTTAGTCTGCTAAATTCTAACTTCCGATCACTAATCAACAAAATGAACTATCTGCAATTCCTACTAAATCAAAATATGTATCGTAATTGTGGTGTCATCACAATTCAAGAATCTTGGTTAAATGATTTACAGAATGACTGCCTAGTATCACTACGTGATTTCAAAATTTATCGTCAGGATGGATCAAGCAATAAAAAGAGGTGTGTTGGCGGTGTAGCTACGTTTTTAAACATAAACTGGTGTCGATCTTCGTTTGTGTGTTTTAAGTTTTCAAATGACTGTATCGACTGTCTATCTCTAAGATGTCGTCCAAAACATCTGAATGAATACAAGTATGTTTATGTTACCAATATCTACGTGACTCCAGATTGCACATCATCTGCACTATCTGTTTTCGTTGATGAGTTCACCGAGTTCGCTGTTACTGCCTTCAGTGAATCACCTTCAGTTGTATGTAGTGATTTTAAATCATATGACTGTAGCTTCCTTACGTCACTAGGTCACCAAAACGTAGTAGATTTTCCTACCCGTTTGGATGCTCATTTAGACTTCGTTTTCATTAATGATGTGGGTATATATGTGACTCGTAAACATGCCCCATTGTCCAGCTCGGATCACTGTATATTTCGTGTTCTACCTAAAGTATGTGGAAAGCATGGGAAGAGTACACTCTTACATCAAACCAAGAAAGTCAAATATAAAAATTATTCAGAAGAAAATATCCGAAAATCTGAAAAACATGTATCATACGACAACTGGGAATTATTTACAGATGACTCACTAGAAAACACTACTGATGTTATCACTTGTTACCTTAAATTCTGTTCTGATATTTTTTGTCCCACTGAAACTATTTTTGTAAGTTTTGATCGACTTTTATCTTCACAACTAAAACGACTACGGAGGACGAAAGAAAGAATGTACAAGGAGAACTCTTATGAAGTTCGTAAGCTAAATGGTCTGATAAATCTAGAGATTAGACGTCTCAACTGTATGTTTACTCAGAAACTCTTGTCTCGCAAAAACTCTCCAAGTATGTGGAAACTCTGTAAAGAACATACAGGTGACAGACAGTTTAGAAGCGATAACTGGCTGAATGTTTGTGACTTAAATAAGTCTTTTGTACGTCAGTCATCTGATATGATGCTCCCACTACCACGGGTTTAAATAATAGCTGTGTTCCTTCTTTCACTTAAACTGACGTAGGAAGATGTCTCCAGTCGCTTAATTCATATCGATGTTTGGGACCTTATGGAGTCCCAAAAGTGTGCTGACGTCCTATGTTATCCGTTCACAGTTATCTTTAACAGATCCTTCTCATCTAATCTCATACCGAAAATGTAGAGAAAGATGAAGATAATTCCTGTACTCAAGAAAGCATCTGGTGATAAGAATGTAAAATTTAGACCTGTTGCAACTACTTCACCCTTCTTCAAAACAATGGAAAAATTATTAATAGTTCCACTTCAGCCTGCGATAAAAGAGCAGACTGATCCATGTCAATTTGCTTACAGACGCAAAAGAAGCACCTTAGATGCTGTTGCTGTTCTGCATCACAATATGGTTTTCAACTTAGAAAAGGGTAATAATTATGTTCGATGTGCTTTTCTGGACTATACTTCAGCTTTAGATTCTATACCAAGACAACGTTTACTTAACAAGTTAATCAGCGTCAACACTGACAGCTGGATAACCAACTGGCTATGTTCCTACCTCTCTGGAAGGGAACAGTACACTGCATTTGGAGGAACGTGTTCACAGTCTCTACTGTCTCATGAAAGTGTGCCACCAGGAGCTGTTCTTTTACCTCTTCTTTTCTCCTTTTTTCTGTATGATCTGCGATCTTCCGCAGAAAACACTTTTTTGAAATATGCGGATGATCTCACAGTATGTATGCCTATCTCTTCCTCTTTACATCCCATAGAAATGAATGAGTTTTTGTCTCGTATTGATTGTTGGTCTGTTGGTAATGGTCTCATACTTAGTCCGTCTAAATGTCAAGCTGTTAACTTTAGCATGAGACATGAGCGAAATCTAAACACCATTTTGAGATCCCATAATGCTTGTGCTATCGGAGACTCTTTGATAAACACAATGTCGAATGTTAATTATCTTGGTGTTACCTTTTCCTCTGATCTCTCTTGGTCTTCCCACGTTTTATTGTTATCAAAGAAGGTTTTCCGTCTGATCTACTACATCAAGAGATTGTATGTTCTTGGAATTACTCGTCATTCACTCTTACAATTTGTCAATTCTTACATATCACCTATTTTTCTTTACTGTTCTCCATTATTCTTTACCGGGCATTTAAGAAAAGACTTTGCTGTACTGCGGAGAGTGATGAAGTCAGTTAGCAAGATGTGTGGTGAATATTTCGAGGTCATAATTAATATGGTTATGGACAGACATTTAAAATCATGCAAACTCATGGCAGGTGTTATTCTATCAGATACTAGCCATCCCTTTCATTCTTATCTTTCTCATTGTATATCTTCTGGTAGAACGAGACGTAATTACATTAAAATCTATGCACGCAAGCAAAAGTATAAACGTTCTATAATCCCTTACCTAGCAAATATACTCCGTGACGAACAGGTTGTTAGAGTTAACCTAGTCAATAAACTGCATTCTTAACATGTCCTTAATTTTAAAAGTTGTACAGTTTTTCAGTTGTTTTTTTTAAAAACCTTTTTCATTTTTCTGTATTTGTTACTGCGTTTTTTTGTTATTGTTGCATAAGTAACTTGTTAAAATAACCTGTGCTGAAAATTCTATATTGTACCAAAATATAACATTGAATAAAGCCATTAATAATAATAATAATAAAGTCTA